ATCCATTCACCCACCTATCCTTCTAGATCTTTTGTTACTTTCGAGATCCGCCCGGATATCCAAATCTATCTACATCATTTCTCACCCCCTCTCTACATATTAGACCCAATCATCAAAGCCACCAAATCCGAATCTTTCGGCAACTCTGGATAATCCATTGGAATAATCCCATATCGTTTCTTGATTCCCCAATCAAAGTTTAGGCGGAGCGTCGGATTCATACCTTGGACAAATGCACCGATGAGTTTACTATGCGCGCCTACTGCTATCCACTAAAGATTGAGTCAGTGATCTCACATAGCAAGAGAAGAGAAAATCGAAAATTCGAAAATTCGAAAAAAAAAACATACATGACTCTCCGCCACCTCACCCTTCCGCACCGGATCCCCCACCGCCGACATAAAATTCACAAACCACTCATCTCTCGCCCCCTCTCTCGCTTTCTCCAACATCCGCACCACGTATTCATATTTACTCTCGACCAGCCCCTTGAGCGGAATAATATCAGAGTATTCCCATTTATCCTGCAGATGGATCGTCACATCGCTTTCTGTTCGGAGCGTGAAATCGGGATTGTTGTCTAACCAGCCGCTGAGATCTAAGCCCATTTTTTCTTCTACGGAGAGATGCGGAGCGCAGTCGTAGCGGCGCAGTAATACTGCTTTTCCCCGCGCGTCGCCGAGGGTCTCGGGTTTGTTTGTCGTGAGCCAGCGAGGTTTTCCGGATGGGTAGGGCGGGATGGATGTGATGTGTTTTGCGACAGCGCTGTAGAATACCTCGGGAGGTTCTTTGTTCGATGTGTCGTCGTTTTTTATCGAGATTAATATGGTTTCTTGACTGTGTTGAGAGAGGAAATCGAAGACTTCCTGCATGACAAAATCGAATTTGAGATAGAAAGGTAGGTTGATGGGGATGCCGCCGTGGTACATGTAGAGTTGACCATCTTCGGTGTGGACGCGCACGCGCAGATCGAGAAAGCGGATGCCGGCTGTGAGTTGGGAGGCTATGGAGAGGTATTGCGTGCGCACGAAGGGGATGTTGGATTCTGCGCAGCCTGGGGAGGGGGGAGGATTGTTAGGAGGGGTGTCAATTGGCAAGAGAGAGGAGAGAAATCTTACTATCGTGGGTTCCTGGGATAGTCATATCCGATAACAAAGTATCATCTGGGATTTCCGCCATCCAAGAGCTTAGCGAGTAATCGAGCAATGATCGAGAATACCACAATAACTCCCTACTCTCATCATTGGAATTGAATATACAATTTATCCTTCCATTCAGCACCGCCAACTGTGGAGGGTCAAACGAAGTCTGTCCCGCGATCGCTTCTTGCGGATGCCACATCCCATCTTTATACTCGCTCATGTAAATCACATGTGAAGTATCTCCGGGGCCATTTTCCTGGAAAGCCAAAAACGCACTGTCACCATAAGAGGTAGCCGAAACACCCTGTGCTGCTTTTCCTTCACTCACATCATCACAACTATTCCACACATCTTCCGGCAACGAATATTTGAATCCGAGAATCACACGATCCTCCTCCGTCGAAGAACACAGCGCGTGCAAATCTCCATTCAACACAAACACCGCGGGGATCCCAGATACTTTACTAATCCCGCTTACTTCCTGGGGATAATTCCATTCTGGCTGGGCCTCAGAACCCAGCATCCATGTCGAGTAATACAAATAGGAATTCTGGGTATACGCCAACACCAAATTGTTATGGTGACTAATCAGCGCCGGTGTAGTATTCGTCCAGAGCCCTATTTGCTTATCCAGAAGAGTAGGAGACGCCCAGGATTTCTCCACATCGTCATATTCATAGTGAGCGATTTCTCCATCTGATCTGACGATTACGGCATGCAGACGACCGAGAAGCTCGGCCATCACTGGGATTCCTTGATCGGGAAATCGGAGACGCGTCTGGAAGGTGTCATTGTCGCCGGTGGCATAGTAGAGATCGCCGGATGGGTCGCTCCAGAGACACCAGAGTGAGCCGCGGTGCGTGGCGATGGCTGGGACGGCGGATGTGTGTCCATTGGGGGTGTCTTGGACGAAACTGGATTGGCCTCTTGAGATCCAGGCCATGATGATGGGGTTTACGTGAATCTTATTTATATAGGAGTGTATGCGGTAGTGTATTTTTTCAAAGTTATCCCCAAGTGCTTCAAGATAATATCTATATAATATCAGAAAATTCCTGTCAATAAGAAATAGGAGATACATACATACAAACCAGCGGTGTCCAAAATAAATCCAATTTATATTACATAAATCCTCAACCATCCAAAAAAACCAACACAAAAACTCTAGACAAACAGAAGTGCGTATAATTCGAGTATATAGAACCCTTAAGCGAAAAAAGAGTGAAGGTGCACAGAAATTTTCACATCGAGGAGCGATGCCAAGCTTTTATATCTCATCCGCCGGACGATTCGAGGACTCGTGTACTTCGTTAGCGCTTGCATCAGCCCGTAGGACTGTTTCAACTGCGGGGGCTGGGCTCGGGAAAGCTCCATTTTTACAAGGTTGTTTGGGCTGGACGGTGAGATGAGAAGCTAAATTGTGGAAATCCACTTTGGACGCATGGATTGGGTACCACGTGATGATGGTACGTGGGTATCTTGTGTGAGATGTTGAATCGATTTAAAGGCTGGGAAGAGCTTTACTGTGATGAGTTGAGGGAAGGGTACTATGACCATTGAGAAGAGAAGTATTTCGGTGGCTTTGTGTTGGAGAAAAGCAAGTTCAATCATTAACTCAAGCCGATGAATTCAGAGCCGAAAAGTAATGAAGTATACTTCTGAATACTCTCTCACTATCTATGCCCGCAAGTTTCCAATCAGTTTCCATATTTCTCGAATTACTGAGCCGTTGATACCCTGCATCTTCCCTTCTACATCATGTAATCTTGGGTTGGAATCATAGAAGCTGCATACAAGAAAGCGTCCTTACTGAGGCTCTCTTCCTAAACAAACATGCCGATCAATACCCTTCGTTTTGTGCCTTCATTTCCAAGTTAAACTCTTCCCATCTCCTCTACTCGCTTTCCGTCAAGTCATCATCTCACACGGGTAAAACAATACCAACATTCAACTGGATTCGCTTCGATTCAGACTGCAAAACTATTGCTTTGCCTTCATAATATTGAGATATCTTTTATGTGACAGACACCTATCAGTAGTACATGAGCCCCTCCAAACTTAGCACCGCATTCTTCTCACCAGATCTAAGGAGATATGGGAAATCTGAAAATGCTGAGTATGAGACGAAACTCGTTGACAGCTCTAAATTTGGACAATCATATTATTATGCATCCACTAGAATATCTCATCACAACATTGTGATTCAATTTATACCGAAATCAAAGGTATCTCCGCAGCCAGATGAAGCCCAGAACATCCATCATGAATCATATACTAGACCCCCGTTCAAAGAAAAAGAAGAAAATCTAGGGCATCCTAACATCAAATGGTGTCTTTCCAAATGTTTCCCGTATTGTAGCTCACTATAACCAAGCCCAACTTCCAGTAACTCTGCCCTCTGCTTCCAATGCCAACTTTTCGAAACCTGTTATGCTTAAGTCTAAATCCTCGGCTTTACATCCAACACATCTATCAACAACCGTTACGTCAATAGTATTGTTTCCGCTTCCCGATTCTTTCTGTCGAGTGATTCTGATCTTTTTCCCACAGAGAGGATTGGCATTGGGGTTGGAACTCGTTGAAGCGGCATCAAAGATGATGTGGGACACGGCGCAAATAGATTCAGATGATGAGGATGTAATGCCACATGCGCCGAGACCAGGTGCATAGTATGTAAGATCTCCTGTGAATATACCACCATTTGATGGAAGAGGTAATGCTTTCGACCTTAATTGATAGATTAGTACGTGATTCTGACCAATTGAATAGCAGAGTTGAGTTGGAAGGAGTATATTGTTGTGAGAAGGATTCATGCACAAAAAGAAAAACGATGAGCCATCGATATGTAATGAATTGCTAAATACACATACGATGAATGCTTCAAGCCGAGACCAAGTCCCAGTCCCAAGATCAATGCAAGTAATAATACAATTGCTCCTATAATCAACAAAAGCACCTTGCGACTCCGTCCAAGATATGTGCGATGCGCAGGCAATACATTATTGAATCGCTCAGTCAATGTAGGTTTTCCAAAGGTTCCTGTCGCGACAGCATTTCCCGATGAATCCGAAGATCCCTCTTTCGTGGTAGGAAGAGTTGATGATTCCGGTTTCGAAAAGATATTATATTTGCTGAGGAAGGATTGTTTGGGTGTTGGAGTCTCCCATTCTGGAGTCTCGTGGATCGTGGATGCCATTATAAATTATTATTTTATCTCGATTTTCAAAGAGAGACTAGATGCGCATTATGATATTATTGGAATAATAAGTGGTATGTCCAAAGAGATAGAATTATGGAGTAGAAAGTGGGATGGATGGATGGATGGATGGATGGATGTATCGAGACAAATTGGCTTATGAAAGATTAGAGATTAGAGAAGGAAAGGGTGGAGAAGAGCTAATAACCGTTTGGTACATGCACCCTGTAAATTTGGGGAAATACAGTGTACAGTAGTGCCAAGTTTTCCTTAGTTTCAGGGACTATCGGGCTATGATTGGCTGTCCGCAATCCAAATCTAGGCTTTAAATTTAGTAAATTGGGTCCATGCTTGACTCAAAATCGAAAGTCTTTTTTGTCTTCTACATTTCGGTACCTTACATATATCTATTACCACCATTGGACAACACCAACAACACCCTTCAGACCATTTGAAACATTGACTGAGTGGTCAAAATCAAGCCACGTGGTGTTCGACTGCATATAGAGTATATATCAATAGATTTGACTCGTCAGTACGGGCCGTAGTACCCCGCAGTATGCCATGTCACCTTTCAATGTTGTGTGTGCCTTGTGGTCTGACTTTATTTACTTGAAATTTCAACATCATCTCTCATTTCTCATCATCATACAACAGTAATAATGTCTGACAACATTTCAACAATCTACGCGAGAGCAGTGGCAGACGCCCAAAGAGCAGTTCAATATGTACTCGAGAATGCTCCAGGAGCATATGAAAGAGGGAAAGATGCTGCCGTGATTGTTGCTGCTAAGGTTCAACCTGCTCTCAACTCTGCCATGGAGAAAACACCAGTCCTCATGGAAAGATCCAGAATAGCGGCAGAGCAGTTGTATCAGGATGCTCCCAGGCATCTAAACACCGCGAAGGGTGTGGCAGGACAGTTATATCAGGATGCTCCGAGACATTTAAACACCGCAAAGAAAGCGGGTATAAATGCTCTTGAGAATCCTAGACATTCTGCAACAACAGTGTTAGCCACTTTGGGGCCTGTCGTTCGCAAGCACCCATATGTCAGCGTTTTTGGAGCCTGGGCAGCACTGGCTGTGGCATTCGGGCCCCTCTGGCCTATTCGTGCTCTATTAAAAGTATTTGGATTTGGTAAAGGTGTCACTCCTGGTAAGCAGATCTTGATCGGTTATATGCCGACGCAATCACTGACAGAGTTGTAGGATCGAATGCGGCATCTTGGCAATCGCGACAAGGAAACGTGCAACGCAATTCATGGTTTTCTTTATTTCAATCCTACGGAGATAAATTAAGTTAAGCTTAGGCCTTCAATTCAAAAAGGAATTGCATGCTTATAAAAAGCTGAAGAGTTGATTGTGAAATCAAATGAAAAGATTTATATTGCATCTGTCCTATGTTCCTCGTCGTTGATTCTCCCGTTTTGGAGAACTTATAGATAAATTCAGTTGATTCTTGATTGCTTGAATATCCTCTCTGCGGGTATTATTGCTCTTTCCATTCTTCTCTGACGGTTTGTATTTTGGAAGCGCCCTGGCCCTTGAAAACTGTGTTTTCAGGTGCTTTTAACTAAATTTCTTATCTAAGAACCAAACTCCTTCATGGATTATGTTATTTGTAATATTGCTTTCCAAGCCATGTCTCGGAAGCCTTGAGATTCTTTTATAGTCTCTTCAACTCAAGTACTATCTCTGTTCATGTATCCGTCCAGACAGCTCAAATATTGAACAGGATTTACGCACAAACAATTGTGCCGGGTAGGTTACTTGTAATCAACAACGAAGACGCAAGCGAAAATCCAAGGCAATCAAATGATCTCAAGACAGTGTGGAAATAATAAGGATAAATTTGATCGCGAATGAACTTATAGTTGGCAATTACTAGAAATGGAAAGAAGGAAGGAAGCGATCTTTTCAACTACAAAGGATACACTTTAATAAATTTATAGAAACAGTACGTTCTGCAGTGCTCAAAAGTAGATATTGGAATTGTACGTGCGTACTGTTTTTATACCGTGGATCAATTCATGTCAAGTGACAAACAGAACTGCACTACAGAACGACTTTATCCTCAAAAATCGAGATTTATTAGGAGTCTAACTGTCGGAGCTCCATGAGTGATATGGACTTGGCATTATTTTAGATCACGAAAAATAATCGGAGTACATGTTACTTTGATATCCTGTGCATTCCGAGATTTCTTTAAACTTTTGAACGATCGAAGGTCATTGAACTAGCAAAAACCTGATTGTCTTGCTGTTTGACTTTTTTTTTGAGGACCCATTATTGCTGGCTCAAATCATACGATCTTCATGGTAAAGACTGCATCGCTGATATGGCTAGGTCATTGATCAGTGAGAAAGAAGAATGAACGAGGATATGCATAGGTTTTGTCGGCAAAAAACGCTGCTGCAAGCAGGAGAAGAAGAAGTGAGTGTAATTTATTAGGAGCACCAATGAGATAGTCCGAATTCAAGTGGGTTTTTGAATTTTAGATGGATGTGACGGCCAATTAGTTGATATAGTGAAATGCCAAACAAGAACGACTTAAGTGATAAGGGGGTTTTTAATCTAGTCAAACCTTTCTTGATCACACAGTTTCATTGTCAAGGGAAATCTCGGTCTAGTAACGAGGCTCATCATCATGATAGTTTTCTCATTGAGAGGTTTCCCTCCTGTTCTTTCGTTGTCAAATTAGCTTCAATGTCTAGTGGGTACCCGTTTTCACTTCAGCTTGATCATCGCAAACTTTTCACATCTCAATACAAAGTCCAAATATTAGTTACACTATCACGACTATGCAGCTAGATTCAATTATGGTTTTATCAATTGGCGCTCACTTCCCCCCTTAATCAGAATAATAACTTCTTTGTGTTGCCTTTATGATCATTTGCTTCCTTTGGTTCTTTCAACGCTTCGACAAAGTGCCGGAAACAGATGACTTCAAAGCATGGCTTTGTTCCTTCCTCTCTTCACATATCATGGTAGGTAGGATATTTCGTTCGATTCAACGGGGTTTTGAAAACTACTTTTTCTCGAATAACAACATCTCGAATCTTTTGGATATCAAAATACAAATGGCAGCCGTACCCACACAGGAAGGTAATGCGCCAGGTGCGGGGGCTGTAATTGTAGATGTGAATGTGGATGTGGGCCTAGACACAGATAGCTCTGACGAGGGGGTTTGGCAAGACGTAGGCATAAGTTCTTTAACAGGACAATCAGACTCCATGGCAGTTAGGGTGATACGTAAGTATTAATCTTTTCAAAACGTCTTTCAATTTTATCTGATGCCCTTATTTTGCAAAGAAAAATGGTACGAACGCTAATCAAATTTTAATGTTGATAGGCGCATTTCGTGCGAACACAATCCGTCAAAATAAATGGCAGAAACACAATCCACACAACTTGACAGGAGATAATATAGAAATTGACGCATGTATTGCCAGTGGATCATTCGGACTTGTCTTTCGCGTCGAGAACAAAGATACCCGTAGTGAGGGACAGCCCGGCATCAAATATGCTATTAAAATTTCCAAACTTCGATTAGAGTCGGAGGCTAACCTTGACTACAACATGGGCTCAGATCGCAGTCCCAATCTTACACGAACCAGTGAAGCTTCTGTTGTTGACCAGAAGCAAATGAAAGCATTGAGCTTAACCTCCAAACGTGGAAGGGAGATAACAACATTCCTTCAATATATCAAATCAGGGCACCCTAATGTCATGAACATGGCTGGTTGGGCTGAATTTGACATCTTGGGAAACTCTTTTTCTTTGATTGTTCTGGAGATTTGCGATCTTGGCACTCTTCTCGACATGGTATGTGAATTTCGAGAGAGGGACGAATACATGCCCGAAGCATTTATAGTGAGTTTGATACCATTCTATCTTTGTCGAGCCGAGATATAACTAATCTCAATCCTTAGTGGCACACTTTCGAACAACTGTTTAGCGGACTTGCATTTCTCCATGGCGAGCATCCCGATTACATAACAAAACCAGAATTTGCGGGACGTACAGAAACAACTGTCGCACGTGACGTTAAATCAAACAATGTCTTCATCCAATCAGTTCCTCCAAATTCTCCCCCGAACACATATCCGACTATCAAATTGGGAGATTTTGGCGAGTCCCTACATCTACCCAGACACGGTACTCGCGATTTTAATTACGGAAATAGTACTTGTGACCCGCCAGACACCAAGATGAGTGCAAAGTATGATGTGTGGTCCGTAGGCGCCATGATATATATGATGGCCAGGAGGGGGCGTTACCCAAACAAAGGGTGCTCCCTGATAAACTCGGAGGGAAAGGTCATTAAGTTTCATCGCGCAAAACCAGCAGAAAGAGAACTCCTACGTCGTGCGCTAAATCAAGAATCGAGGTTTGAGCCTATAAATGAGCATTTGACTTTACGGTTAGAAACCGAGATCAGATGGGCCATGACACTTAACCGAGAAGATCGACCGACTGCTGTAGAAGTATATCTCAAGGTACAACAGCTCAACGACGCGAGGAAGAAATTCATGTATAGGGAATTGCCACCTTGGGCCCCAAAATTGGAATTGCAGCGAGAGTACAAACCTCTCGAATTGGTAAAGATGAATTGGATGATTGACGACGCGGAGGAGAGAGACTTTCTATTCAAATACTCAGGAGGACTTACGGTGCAGAGGACAGAGAGAGCAAGGAATAGGGTGCGGAGAAGTCTTGCTGAGCACCACGCGATGGTTCAGAGAAGGAAGAATGAGAAACAACGCGAAATTGATTTGAGAACTGGTGCGCGTGACCACGCGGAGCTAGATCGGGCAAGGAGGAGCGTAATTGAGCAAGAGGAAATCGGCAAGGTCAAGAACGAGAGAAAGGAATATGGGGGTTGGTTGAGGTCCGGGCATAAGAGGAGAAGATTAGAATATCATAGAGGTAGGGCGCATTGGGTTGATTGAGGGTAGGAACATTTGGAGGAAGGACCATAAATTGTATATGTTAAAGAGGGAGAGTGGATGTAGTAACGAGGGGTTTATTGAGGGGGTTATGCTAGAACTTTCAAGGTGACGCAATTGTATTTATCTAGTCTAATTCTGTCAAATCTATTCGCAAGGATATCATTATCAATATTTTTATATTTTATTTTACATCACGTTCAGATTGCCTGCTACATCAAATTTTGATAGTTTGAAATTCCAAAGATGCTCGAACGAACGGTTCATGTTGATGAACTATATCTCATAAGAATATATTAGGAAATCTAATTGAGTGTCTTTCCTGCCGTGTTATACAAAGATAATGGTGGGGATTTTTCTTCGAAAGATTGGCTGAATAAGCTATGACCTGGTTCATTTTTAGGGTTTAGCTAGATTCAAATTTATTTTCCTAAATATTGACAAGGTATCTTGATACATGTTTTTCAGTATTGGTGTCAATGTAGGTAGATAGCACCTTAGATTTACAGCTTTTCCATTTCCAAAAAACTTCCCTTCGAATGAGTAGTAGAATAAGCCTCAGAGAAAGAGGCCCGTGGTACATGTGAACATGACGCACCCAGTGACCGTTCTCAGCTGCTTTCTATTCTGAGACCTCGCTTGGCTAACTCTGTATGTTTTATGCACATACATCCTTTTAGCTCTTCAACCTCCATGCCATATCGACAAGATTCGCACATCAACCTGGAAAACCAACCATGGCTAATTCAAAGTAAGTAGATATTTAAGCACATACCCTTTGTCATATTGACCCAGCTCACCAATCTGTTAGATATGAATATGTCAAAGCCTTTGAGCAGCCTGATCTGCTCATCCCAAATACATGGATCGTAGTGCGTATTGATGGTCGGGGATTTCATAAGTATGTTTTACCTTTCCTGCTCCACGAGCTACTCTACTGCTTGATCATGTAGCGGAAACTGAAATTCATAGATTTTCGGACAAATATGCCTTTGAGAAGCCGAATGATCGGAGAGCGCTGGATTTGATGAATGCGGCTGCGAAGGCTGTCATGATGGAATTGCCCGATATTGTGATTGCCTATGGCATTAGTGACGAGTATAGGTTTGTTTTTAATTTTATGGTGGCTTTCAATCGAGAGTTCTTGCTAAAGAAGCAATCATAGTTTCGTCTTCCATAAATCATGTGCGCTTTTTGAGAGACGCTCGAGGTATGACTCTTTTCCCTTCAACCCTTTGTTTGAGGAACTTCTTGCCTGAAAACAAAATGTTAATCAAAAATTTATAGTAAGCTGGTCACGACAATAGTATCAACTTTCACAGCATACTATGTCCATTTCTGGTCGACCTATTTCCCGGACCCGGGAATGCAACTCACGGCACCGTTACCTAGTTTTGATGGTAGAGCTGTGCAATACCCTAGTGTTCAGAATTTGAGGGATTATATGAGTTGGAGACAAGTCGATTGTATGCATTTTCTTCATATTTTACTTCCTGTCTCTGTTTTCTCCGGGTTGGTACTGATGAGTGAAGGTCACATTAACAATCTTTACAATACCACTTTTTGGACATTGATCCAGAAAGGAGGGTTTGATGCAAAAGGTGCGGAGAAGGAACTTGCTGTGAGTTTCAATGTTCTCAGATCACTAGTTTCCATACTTAACGTCAGGTGAATTTTAGGGATCTTTGGCTGCGGACAAAAATGAGATTTTGTTCTCGAGGTTTGGAATCAATTATAACAATGAACCTGAAATCTACAAAAAGGGGAGCGTGGTTTTCCGAGATGTAAGTCAGAGTCTTCACCCTAATTTACTTTGACGAAAAATTGACTTGATCATAGTATGAGTTAGTGGAACCGGGAGTGTCAGAAGCAATCGATGAGGATTCAGCAAAGACAATCGAGCAGAAGGAACTGTCAAAGACACAAGAAGAAAAGGACAGGAAGAGAAGAGCAAAGGCAAGAATCACGGTGCAACACGTAGATGTTATTAAAGACGAATTTTGGCAGAGGAGACCATGGCTTTTATCCAATAAGCCTGGAAAGATACCCAAAGAGATATAGTTCGAGGTTTAGAATTCCACAAATCTAATTGAGATACCATATATTATCTAGAACGCCAGGGTCACTGTCGTGATCACAAAACTCCGTGCCCCAAAACGCCTTTTGCTATGCCGACTTGTAGAATATACAGGGCAAAACCATTTATTTATTCTTCCGCGACTTCTTCTTTTTGGCGCTTTCTGACGTTGATGATGTATCTGATGATTCCTTCTCTGATCGTCGTAACAATTTCTTTTGTCGCTTCTGTTCCTTCCGTTCTCGCCGTTCCTCCTTGGTTTCTGTCTTTTCCGAGTCTGTTGAGCTGGCGCTTGCTGCTTTGGCTTCCTTTCCTCCCTCCATCTTTTTGGTTTCTTTAGCGGCGGATTTCCTCGCTCGTTCCGCCCTCTTCTTTTCCTTCCTTGCCCTCCTTTCTTCCTTATTTTCTTTTCTTTCTTCTCCCTTCCTTTTCTTATCCTTGTCCTTTCCCTTCCCGCTTTTCTCTTCCTTGACAATTATCTCCATAGCCTTCTTCTCCTTCTCTTTGTCCTCCATCGTCCCCCCGACCGTCTCCCCCCTCACAAAAAAGCTATACAATCCTCCCTTTCCCCCAACCCATTTACTTCCACCCTTAACCACCATTTCCAAGCCCCCTCCCTCCTGAACCTTGACCTGTCCCTCCTTACTCGTATCCAATCCCTTCAGCGAAGCATCAAAAGCATTCAACCACCACATATCAGCCGTCTTGTGCATTTTCTTCCCCACTCCCAAAAGATTGTCTTTTTTCGAAACGAGCAATGGTCGCGAGAGTCCAATAGTGTCGGAGCTGTGGTGGAGAGAGTGACCGGTTCCGCGCCAACCCTGAGAGGTGAGAAGAGCGTGGGCGTTCATTTTGAGGTTGTGTGATCGTTAACGCGAATGTGAGGGAGTGTTAGGGGTTGCTGAAGTGGGCAGTTGATGGAGGAATGCTTTGAGACTTGTGATGAAGAGATATATTTTCTTATCGCAACTCAAAAATTAATCTTAGCGTTATCGCTTCAATTTTTGGTGGAATCCATGTAAGGTTAGTGTGGCGAGTGTGGCTAGAGCGTAGCAGTTGTGGCGGGGCGGGAAAGTGTGGCTGGCTTCCAAGCCAGGTGTGCCTTGATTTTTGTTCGTCGAATCCTTGGGAGAGTATTTTCTCTCCAAAATCATGTTGTGCCTCTCAGAAAAGAGAATCTTTCCATTTTTCCTCTCAAAAGTATAACATAACCATTTTTCAATTATATCGAATACCGCAATCGTCACGTATTGATAATGCCGTTCCTCCCATACGAGGAGCCTGGAATTGAGGTTATTCTTTCATTGACCTCATTTATTCTTCTTTTAAACATCACTCGATACATCCTAGACCGACTGCTGTACTGTGGTATCGTAGGACAAATTCTCATAGGGATAATATGGGGTCTACCAGTCGGAGGGGAAGCATGGCTGACAAAGGGATACCAAGAAACCATTCAAGCATTGGGCTACCTAGGTCTGATAGGTCTCGTGTTTGAAGGAGGACTCAGTACAGACCTCAAACAGCTTCGGAAAGCTGCCTACATTTCAATATCGGTAGCTACTGTTGGTCTATTAGTGCCCATTGCATTATCTTTCCTGTTGCTTATTTTACCATTTTCCAGTAGTTCTGGGACAATGTATCCTACTCCTCTAGCAGCCTTCTCGGCTGGGGCATCATTATGTTCGACCTCTCTGGGAACGACATTCGCCATTCTCTCCTCTGCAAATATGCAGCATACGAGAGTCGGTGTGATACTCGTAGGAGCTGCGATGATGGACGACGTTGTCGGCCTTGTTATGGTGAACATTGTGACAACCCTGGGGAGTGGAGGTATGGGTGGATGGCCAATCGCAAGACCAATAGCCGCGAGTTTTGGCTTACTTCTGGGTTTTCTTGCTCTGGGCGCTTACTTACTGAAGCCGATTTGGCTCTACCTTGTCAAGTGTTCTCGGTCCGAGTCAGTGGCTAATGTTCCCACGGGAAACAAATCTGATGTCAAGGAAACAGCTCTCAAACAATTTTGGAGAATTCCTAGCCTTGGGTTTCTTCTTTCAACATTGATACTCATCGTTTTTGTCACTATTGCATCTTTCATCGATGCGTCTGTTCTTTTCGCCGCATTTATTGCCGGGGGAGTAGTTAATTACCTATGGGATGTCGGAAACCGTAGTATTGAAGAAGAACCGAGATCAAACCCAGCTCAGGTGATGTACGAAGAGTACTATAAACCAATCATGGACTTCATATTGGTTCCCTTTTTCTTTGTAAGTATTTTCAATTTACACCTTACTCTCACCATCCAGTACTGGGTATTCAAGAGTCGGGACTCCTGGTAGACAACATGAGATGTGTACTTTTGGAACCGATTTGGCATACTCGATCAGTATGGAATGGTGAATCCTTCTTGGATAATGAATCGCATCCAAATATTTATCTCATTCAGACTTCAATCGCCCGAAATTCTGGATTGAACTCTCCTCGGACATTCACATTTAGCCTATTAACGCAGACTATTGGACAAACTGCGAGCAATACTTGATTTTAAGGAACTGGACTAATCTGATCTATCTAGGCGTCTATTGGTTTCTCAATTCCAATCACAGACATGTTTAAAGCCTCCATCGTCTGGAAAGGCATTGTGTACTCCATACTCATGGTAATTGCGAAATGCCTAGTGAGCCTTGTTATGTATTTCGAGTACTTCGCAAAATCTTGGAGCAAACCAAGAGAAACTCAATCATCAGCGGCAGATTCTACCCGTCCTCCACATTTAGAAGCCTTGCTAGTGGGATTCGCCATGGTTGCCAGAGGAGAAATCGGGTTCTTGATCGCGTCCCTCTCACAAAGCTCCGGTACACTGTTGTTGAAGAATCAACAAAATACTGCCATTGTTTCCGGGGAAGCAGTTTTTCTTGTCATCGTTTGGGCTGTAGTAATTTGCACTATAGTCGGCCCAGTTGTCGTCGGCCTTCTCGTAAGGCGAATCAGGAATCAAGCATTGTATCTTCATTGAATTGAGACCCTGATCGTATGTGCTCCGAGGTTTACACCCCGAATGTCTTGGTTCAATATATTTAGAAAGCTAAAAACATTACCGGTGATAACCCGGAGATTTAAAAAGTCAAAATAATACAAATGCTTGAAGCTAAGCATGTCTCACTGGTAAGGCTGTCGATTAGATGTTGCAATTCGAGCCTTCGATCGGGAATCATTGGAGGTACCTGCAGCTGGATATATGCCGGAACGCACATCAATTAGCATTTACAGTCCTTGCATGGAATATTTTGGAAGCAATCCTGTAGGGTGTTAAAGATCTGTCTCAACTCCGCGGTCTCACTACGGGTGTATACAAATATGGATAACTTTAAATGGAATTATACTTCGGATTAATATAACATCACTAAACCGCGACTTCCTGAGAGATTTCGAGTTGAAAGTATCCACAGACAATAAAATACGATCGGCTAAAGAATCTAACGGTAGAAGATCATCGTGTTTTAGTCTTCGTATAAGATCCAAGAGTCAGGACCGCAAAAGAAGGCCCATTGACCCCTTTTATCACATGATAGAGAACTCCTGATTTGTGAAGTTATGGTACTATTGGCTAGGCAAAAGGAAACCGTCGAAAGATGTCCATCCCACGACTCACGAGTGCCTTGCCATGCCTAGTGACTGCCTAATGCCGAGGAATTCTGCTATTTTTCATATCAAGCCAGAGAATTCTTTTCTGCAATTGTCTCGGAACTCTTCTCGAAAAGAATAAAATGGGATCTAAGTATGCAAGGCTACCAAACTGATGAGGGGAATCCGTATTCCAGCCTGATCTAAGCCCCACACAATAATACAACCCGCATGATCCCTTGTCCTTGTACAGCATGCACTGTCAGACGGTTAGACGAGGTTTGCATGAAAACTTACAAGCATAGGCAAATCTTATATAAAATTTGCCTTTATTATACATACTTCCAGGCCAATGATTTCCTCCCCTGATTGGAATCTTTCGAGTTTCATTCTATCTATCTTTTGGACTGCTTAAGAGTTTCTCAAGTTCTTTTATATCCCGTACTTGAGTTACTTCAACGGTCTTCAAAGATGTCAACCTCACAGTATGGGGCTTTTTTGCCTCGACATCTCAAGGGATACCTCTGGATTAGCTTTCTTGTCGCAGTATTCATTGTTATGGGATTGAGCGAAAATAATGTTATATTTGTTAACAGATCAGCAAATTGGGATGCGACAGATGGCGGTCCATTACTACAAGATTATTCTATAAATTCGGATGTGCCATCTACAACTCCTTTAGCATCCCCACCAATGAGCGATGACAACAGCTATACAAAGCCAGCAGCAGAAGAACCAAGCAGGATCTACAGTAACACAGGTCTTGATCCGAAGGATGTCGTCATTTTGGTCAAGACTGGTGCTACGTCCATTTGGAGGAGGATGCCTATGCACATGTCGACTACATTGGGTAACAAACAACTTACTCCAAATATCGTCTACTACTCTGACATCGCGGACAACATCAATGGAAATCCGGTCATTGATTCTCTCGCAAACGTATCGGCAACTCTTAAAGCATCACCTGACTTTGAGCTCTATAACAAAGCCAAAGAAGCTCTCAACGACAATTTGTACCAAGAAAGTGCAAGTATGGAGGGAGATTCGTACTTACCGGGTGGCTGGAGACTGGACAAATACAAGTTCTTGCCTATGTTTCAACATGCTGCTATTCATCACCCTGGCAAGAAATGGTATGTGTATATGGAGGACGATAACTATTTCTTTTGGGAAACACTTTATGCATGGCTTGCGACTTTAGACCACACATCTCCTCTTTTGGTTGGGTCGCCAGCGTTTAAGATGGGCGAAGATTTTGCTCATGGTGGATCTGGATTTGCTGTTTCTGGAAAGGCTATGGCAACTTCATTTGGTGCAGAGAAGACTCTGGCTGACAAGTACGAATCGTATGCGAAGGAGCATTGCTGCGGAGATCAGGTACTTTCACATGCCATGAAAGAAATGGGCGTAGAGCGATTCAAGGAGCTGGATGGAGGTGGATGGGCTGCCTTGCAGTCCCTTCCAACATGGAGAATTGGTTTTGGTGACTGGAACTGGTGCTCACCACTCATGAATATCCATAAAGTCCATCAAGCGGATATTTCCCAATTGTTCGTTTTTGAAAACCAGTTCATGCAAGAGACGAAAGGAAAGGGACGCATACGTTATCGCGACGTTTTTAAATACTTCTTTGCTCCAAAACTAGTTGCTGCACGGTCAGAGTGGGATAATTATGCAGCAGCCAAGTCATTTTCATCGACGGAAGATTCCTGGTCGCCCGACTTAAAGGCCTTAACTGCAGCTCAGAAGAGTGAAAGACCATGGGCATCGAAAGAAAATTGCAAAAAGGCTTGTGCAGACTGGGACAAATGTTTGACCTGGAAGTATCAAGATGACAACTGCCATCTTGATCATACAGCGGCGATAGGAGCGAAGGTTAATGAGGGTGTTTACATGGAAAGTGGGTGGATGGTGGATAGAATTGGGAAGGTTCTTGAAAAGAAGGAATGTGGTGCTTTGGATTTTTAGACTTACAGGTTCCAGACCTCAAGGTTCGGCGTTTTGATGCATTTGAATAGGCGAACGATATTTTAGATATAATAATATGATCCAATCTCATAACACAAAATAAGCTATTCATAGAGCCAGTGTCTGCAACTTTAAGTCCCACAAACCCAATCAATACAATCACAACCCCTAAGGTGACGCAACCACCTCACATTTATCCTCCATTAATGTCTCGTTGATTCTCTGGATCATCCATCCACTGTTAATCACCCGTTTATCCCATGAAGCCCGTCCCTCAATTTCTCTTCCTAGGATTACCACTACATCCAAACTACAGCTCTTCTCATTTTCGTTATTGATTTCGTGCTTCCAGATACGGCAAGTGGATAATGCAACGCACGCCGCTAGACACGCTTCAGGTGAAGTATAAGCCTGCTCAAGAGCACCTTTATCTTCTACGACAGGAGCAGGTGGACTCCAAGGTGGATTGATGATCGTGGTGATATTCTCCGTAAGTTTGTGACGAGATGCGGAATTGTCCCAATCATCACGGCGGTCTTTGAGGTAAGGTGATATTGTTTTAAGGAAAATATCACGAAATATTATTGGTCGCTAGCATGTTACGTTAACATTATTTAGGGTACGACGTTCATGGGATGACAACTTACCGAATCAAGGTTATTTTGACTATGTTGCCGCTCCAATAATGCCAGTTGAACCAGATCCCTCTGGTGCAAATGATGAAACGTGAAGACTGGTTTGCACCATGAGAACTCGTCAAATCCTGTTTTCCAGGGTGTCTCGTGTCTGAATGACACTGGGCCATCTTTCCCTCTGTTTAAAAGCACATTATGATCGCGCAATACTTTGCCAAGAACCATGTCACCGCAACACTCACCTGCGGTGAATTTGGCATACTCTTGTAGAGTGGGGGTTTTAGGTCCAGTGAAAACAGACTTCATCAAAGACCTAGAGAACACGATTCCTGAACCTCCTTGCGCAAATATCGCATTGGTTTCTCCCGCGGAAGCGCCATAATATGCCGGTTCATCGTCAGCTGAGAGTGTTGCAAGCCATGGGAGAAGATTTGACCAAAAGACGAAAGTATCGTCTTCAATATAAACAGTCCATTTGAAACCAGGAAAGTTTTTCTGAGCATGCTCTAGCATGGGAAGAAACTTGTATCTGTCTAGTTTCCAGCCTGGCTTATCCCCGGGTGGGAGTTCAGGTTCGTCGCCTGGGAGCTGAGCTTGCTCTCTGTACGCATGAATGTTGGTATGTAGGTCTTGGTATATGTCGTACGCAATTGTGTCATGTATCTGCAGAGTGTCGCTCACGTTTTGCAAAACGTCCACTGTCTGGATCTCGTGAGAAAGATTCTCTTGGAGATCCGAATATATTACACTGTTTGGCAAACTTGACAATGTCGTTAACAGCTGCATAGGCATTCGACGCCATGCTGTGCTTGCACCAGTCTTGATGATTAACAAAATGTCAGATGATGACACTGACAGCTCCGAACTTGGCACTGTAGAGGCAATGTCGGGTGTAGCGCTGGGCTGAGGGTGGGGTGATATTGATGAATACACCGCCTTCTCCGCAGACTTCGTAGGCTTCACATCTGCTAGCCGTCCAGGTTCTACTACAACTTCCGTATGAGGTGGTACAGCGAACTCGCCATCGTGTAGCTTCGGATGTACATCAAGCCTCAAGTAGCCATAATAAATCGTCAGAAAACTCAATATGACAAAAATCAATGCAAGACCTCGTGGACCTCTCAGAAAAAGCATTATTCTTCAGCCGCAACATCTACCATAATTCTCATAGGAAAATATACGACGAGAGATATGTATAGATCTGATAAGTTCAACAATCCTCGGAGAAACGGTGGGCATATGCATTCAATGCTTATTATGGGCGATACGAATTATGGTAGAGGGCTTCAACATATGCGATACAAGGATGTTGACAATACGAGCCAAGAGTTTGGAAAGGTCCACATGAAACAGGGGAGGCCTGATCTACGCATTCCCACCGGTTTATGTTAAACAAAAGGGGCTTTTGTTGTTGTTAAGGTTCATTTGAAAATTTACCCTGAAGCACATCAAGGGTTTTCCCTTGGTATTCTGCACTGAGTAATCGAGCCCATCCCCACTCTTACTGTGTTAAAGTTTATCCAATTCTTTATTTAAGCTTCATGCATGATCAATCCAATGGTAATGGCCTATATGCAAGGCTACCAAATGCTACCTTGTAGATAAAAACTTCTGGAAAAGTTTTAATGACATGGGAGGCTGGCGGAAATTACCAATCCATCTTGATGCATCACACTAAGGTTTGTTGCCCTCCTGCCTACACTCATTGCCTAGTATCTGCTTCCCCGTATACGGAGCAGACGATAGAAATTGTTTCATTTTGATCGTCATCCTAAAAATACTAAGCTCTAAAGTCCCGCGACTTGACCGATTAGCCCAGTAGGGAGAGACGAGGTCAAGCCAATATGATCATCGTAAGTATAAAGACTTAGCTGCATGGGCTGCAGTAGAAAATGTTCCAGTGGCACTTTTTCCATTGTTCAAAGCTATTTTATACATTCTTTTGGTCACTCACTCGTTTGTGCTATCTATATCTATCGGATTCTATTCTTCAAGTGTGAAAGAGGGGCCATGCCTGTGGTACCTGTATTACCGACCTTGCACAGGCAAATCTTCAACAGCATCCTTTGCATCGTCACATTCTTTTTAATTTTCCGTTATTTCAGAAGATATGTCACATTTGCCCCAATTACCCTTGAAAGTATATGGCAGATCTCCCTAGCGGAGATCAATCGCAGCAAAAATGTTGAAAGAGTCAACCAATTAGAACAGAAACTTTCTTTACAAGATGCAGAGAAGGGAGTCCAGACAAGAGATGATGTGGCTGCGAAGTGTATTGCTTCTGTAGTGGGATATCGTGAGGAGGCAAATCTGTGGAGGAGATGTTTGCAGAGTTATCATAATTCCCCCGGTCTAGAGATTATGCTCATTGGAATCGATGGGGATCATGATGGAGATATGGAGATGGTTTCTGTAGCACAGGAAGTGTGTACTCCCCTCCGCCAACCCCAAAGAACGCTCAGCAGTGATCTAAAAACATTGAAAGACTAACAAATATCCCTCTGAAGGTATTTCCGGATCTTATAAAAATCCACATCGAAGAACCATATGGTCCTCTCGCTGTCCGCATTGCTCAAAACTACATCACCCGCGAACTTTACGACGAAAAGTCCTCTTCTACAAAATGGGCATCCACACCTACATCATTCGACTCTGCAGATGTCCCCGCCGCTCTTCTATCCGAAGCCCACGCCTATGCCTTCCGCACTGTATTCGAAAAAGCGCTCACAACACTCCGTGAACATAATGCTCTATCACCGTCCCGCGATTCTAAGACCAGATCCCTTCACCCAATATGTCTCTACCAACCTCACAAATGCAAAAAAGATATCATGTTTACCAATATGGTTTTCGCTTTGGCATTGGGACAGGGGAATGACATTGAATACTTGTGGACTAGCGATTCTGATACCATTGTTTATCCGGATACTTTGTACCAAACAGTCGGTTGTATGTCTGCGGATCCGTTAATTGGAGGTAGTTGCTCAGCTCTGAGCATCCATAATGATCAGGAGAGTGCGATTGCTGCTTTGGGTAGTGCAGCTTACTGGTCTGAGTAAGTATCCCATTTCTCTAATTATTTGAAAGGATTAGATTTCTAACAATAACGCACTGCAGGTTAGCTATTACACGTGGACAAACCGGAGCCGTAGACGCTGTAGACTGTCAACCTGGTCCATGTGCCGCTTTTCGTCTCATAGCCCTTGAATCTATTCTTTTACCATGGTACACACAGACTTCTCTAGGAGTCAAAACCGTCGTCAACGAAGATCGTCATCTGACCACCAACCTACTCCTTCAAAACTGGAAAGTAACCTTCAATACCTCCGCGCTCGCCTCTACCGATACCCCTACCACACTTCTCCGCTGGCTCCTTCAACAAATGCGTTGGGCCCGCGCTACTCATATCGAATGTTTCCAATACCCGCAAATCTACTCTATTCACGGTGTCATCCTTTTTGTAACAGCTATGCGTCGTTTCTACGGACCATTGATCGTTGGTGTCTTCACTATTCGTTACGTATTCACAGGATACACCGTCCATGCATTTCAATCCTGGGATTTCCTCCTCCGCGTGGCTTTATGTACATGTTACAACTTTTGGCGCAATAAATCACATGTGGCTAGTATTAAATATCTCGTTCTTTCTCAGATATTTTATCAACTGCCTCTACCGGGAATCATGTTCTGGTCTGTTGTTACAGTCTTAGAAGGAGGATGGGGAACGAGCATGAGAAGTGCGAATGAACAGAAGAAATCGAGATTCGCAGGATGGGATAACCTCTGGAGTACTACTGCAGTAGTTATCTGGATGGGCTTCGTGGGAGCGGCAGTTGCGAGATGGGTTACTTCGTATCTTGCGCCGGCTTTTATGGTGGAGGCGATGATTTTTGCAGGAGTAACGTCAGTGGGGAGTTTGTACTGGACTTTACTTGGGTAGAATTTGATATATGATTTGAATTATAAAAATAGGCGGTATGAATGGAATGGGCACATGGTAAATACTCAAAAGGCTGGTTGGATTGGGATCGGGATTAGATAGGCTATATTAATATTGGGATATCTGGAGGTTCAGGAGTAGAATATATGAGAAATCGAATAGACAAGTAGTCATGAGAAGTATCCTTCAAGGCTTCTATGAAAGCAATATAACCAGGCATTTTCAAATTGAAATTTTCTAGCAGGGCACCTGAATGTTCAAGACGATTTGCATGATTGAACTGATCTCAATGTATGAAATAACTTGAATGCTTGAAATAATGTAAATACATGAACATCCAATACAATTTTGAAAGTTGTAATGGTTAGAATGCCTAAACAGATTTGAACATTTACAAACTGTTTCGATGTTTGAGCAGACTTGAACACATACTATATTACAGCAAGTTATTTACAATAGAATTAGACGCGAAGGAAGGATTGAGACTTATATGAAAAGTGCAGGCAGTCAAGCGAGATCTCAAAGCTAGTCGTCGCCTAAAAACATCTAATCTATTCTGCTACAATACAAAATGCAACACCTTAACTAGATGTCACCTAATCCGAAAGAGACCCCTTTATGTTCATTCCCCGAAGCTATTCTCCACTCCATCTCAACGCGCCCACTATAATAATATATCCCCCACTATCACGTGCCAGAAGATCCGCCAAGAGCTGGTATTTGATGTGGGGTTGAAGTTGACTTTTTGCATTTGTTTATATCAACAAAACGAGATGCCGATTTAACAAATTTGCGAAAAACCCTTCTATGGTGTAATGGTTAGCACGTCGGATTTTGATTCCGGAGATATTGGTTCGATTCCTATTAGAAGGTTCTGTAAAGAACGTTCTCTCATTCCATACTCAGTTTAAATCTGAGATCAAAGGGTGACGCATTATTTTTTCTTTTTAAACTCTTAACTGCTTTCTACATAAAATCCCTATCCCTGATCTAATAAACATCTCTTATAACTTGAATTTCCTAAGTTGTCTTGTTGTTTAACTATTCCAGATTGTTCGAAATATCTAAATATGTTTGAATGTTCTAAATCCTTTTGAGCATTTTATCTTTCTAAAATATAACAAATATTCTGAATTATTTGAATATTCTAAATTATTTCATTCTTTCAGATTGTTCGAGATGTCAAGAATTGTTTGAATATCCCAAGTCCTCTCTCTGAGTTCTTCAACTTTCTAAAATGTTCAAATATCTTAAAAGCAATTGAATTTCTAAAAGATCTGAATTTTTTAGATTGTTTGAATGTTCTGAATTGTTTGATTATTTTAGATCGTTTGTGGTTTCTGAAATCGTTTGAATGTTCCAGATCCTTTAAATTTGTTAGGGTTCTAAAGTATTCAAATATCTCAAAATCATTTGAAGTCCTAGAAGATTTGAATGTCTTAGGTCGTTTGGATGTTCCAAATGTGCTTGTTGGCTTAAGTGTGTTCAATGTCCCTAAACGATTCAATATCTTGAACGGATTCATTATCCCAAGCAAATATAACATGACGTTGAGAGACGTTGATGATCTACATCTCGTTCATGCATTACTCATAGTTTAAACCTTGTGCCGTTGCGGATTTGCTTTCACATTGAGTTGTAGTCATGATATAAGTTCAGCATTACTAGACAATCGTCAATGTTGTATTTTTATTATATCATATTGCTAATGCTAAAAGACGCTTTTGTGTTTATTACTCATGCCTCGCTCTTGGGCAATGTAGCAACCTTTTCCTGGAATAACTTCTCTGCCTTGGCCCAGACTGGAGTATTTCTCCAGTCCTTCAAAGACAACAGACTGGGTAATAAGTCCTTGCTGAATGCCTCACTTGCCTCTCTTGGCAATAAACTTGGCAAGTGATCAATACTGATGACACTTAATCTTGGTTCCCCCTTGACTTCAACTGGAACAGTTGGCTCTGAAAATGTGGTTGCAACAGTATAGATTGGAATTGGGTTGTTGGGGTTGGTGGTATCAGCACTGACATCGCAGACGACTGACAATTTTCGGTTTGGAGTATCGAGGCTTTGCATGTCGACGAAGTTTGGAATCTTGGACATGAGGTATATGCAGTTGATGAAGATGTCACTCTCAACAATCTCTGGGAATGGCCCTCCCTTAGCGGTCTCAGCCATATCCCACTTCAACACATTCTCAGTTGGCACACCAGCTCTCAAGCATAGATCAACTGCTCCACTTCCACATCTGCCCAATGCACCGATAACCAAAACTCGTGGTGCCTTGCCAGTCTTCTCTTGTCCAGCTGCGATTGCCTTCTTAACATCCACAATTAATTCATCTTCGTTGGGGTAGCTTGATACGCTTGGGAAGGGCTCGGATGCTGGGTGGGTGAGTTGCCATGCCCAATTTTCGAGTGCCAATGCTGCACCAGCAAATCCAGCATGGTATCCAAAGGCTGCAACTCTTCTGCCTCTGTCGTCTGTTAAGAATTCGAGATCTAAGAGAGTTCCACCTCCGCGAGGGAATCGTGATAGAACGGTGTCCCAACCTCCCTGTTGTTTATAACAATGTGCGAATTGTACATGGACATGCTCAAGAGGAACTTATTGATAACTGTTAGACGCATCCATTGACATCAAATCAACCAGAAACTCACAGTCTTCGACGGGCAGTTCCTTCAATCCGATGATAATGTGATCCTTTGGTGCTTCTCTCCAAGTGTTTTCGGGCACAAGTGTAGCACCAACTTTCTCAAATTCTTCGTCATTGAATATACGCTCTGGGCTGCGCTCAACATTGATTGTGTATCCAGCATCGATGAGAGCTTTGGCGGTAGTGGGGGTAAGAGCTGATCGATGCTCAAGAGCTTTGCCCACTGATGATCGCATTAGTAGGTGGCGGAGCATTGTGCCATTGATTACTTACACTCAGAACGTAGGTGAAGAGTAGTTCCAGACATGATGAAATAATTGATTTATGATTTGAATCTTAATTGAAGTTTTCGAGTTTATTCACAACTTCAAGTTTTGCTTGGTGAGGGGGATACTTTTCTGCCCCATTGAGTCATCCAATTATCCATGTCACCGCCTCCGGGATCGCACCATCCATCAAACTTCACTTCACTGTCCCAGGCCCCATAATTTTTAGTTGAAGAGCAAACACCAAACATCATCGACGCCAAAACATGTCTCTGGAACTTGAATACCTACTGTGGGTCTTGAGTCCAGATAATGCAACAATTGTTCAATTGAGAATATTCCATGATGTTCTTAAATTCTAGGCAAAGGCTCAAGGAAATAAGATTAGCCAATCTTCATGAATAATGAATAGTATGAGGCATTGAATACTCTCTATTCAATTTAAGGAAGTCGGCGATGTATCGTTTACATGTAGTGAATTTGTGTTGCTCCCAAAAAATCTCTCTCACCATGGTAGTCTTTTATGGACGGCAAGTTTGTAGTCTGCCTGTGCAGTAGGGTGGGTAGTCAATCATTCCATTGATCAAGTTTGCTTGCCGACACAAAACCTCGTTGTTTTGTTGATTCTTGGATAGTATCAAACTTTTGTGTCTATATTATTTGACAGTACGCTCTGATATATCCTACCTATATCGCAGTCATGTCGGCCAAAGATGTACGAACTCATATCATGCTGGATCTTGAGATAGCCGCACACCCATTGAAACACAATCCTGCGATCATCCAGATCGGCGCTATAAATTTTGATATCGAAACCGGCGAGGTCTTGAAGACTTTCTTCGTAGATATTAACTTGGAATCTTGTATCGAATCCGGCTTAATCACTGATTCGGATACACTTCAGTGGCTTGAGAAAAACATTCCAGACACATTGTCTGCTAGCCAAAACAGCAAAGTAGCACTCCAAATTGCTCTTAAAAGACTCACCACCTGGCTCTCCAGTTGCCATAAGTCTAATCAAGTTAGCATCAAAACCAACTATCCAGCTGCGAGATTCGACCCGACCGACCTTCAAGTAATGATCTGGGCATATGGTAGCACACAGGATTTCCGGTGGATGGAGAGTGCCTACAAAGCAGCGGATTTGAGAAAGCCATGGATGTACTATAACGATCTCTGTGTTCGAACTTACTGCGAAGCGGCTTTCTCAATTACAGGGAGAAATATCCGACGTGAGGTGGACAAATCTTTCGTCGGCAAAAAGCACGATGCTATCGATGACTGCAAGCATCAGATACTCTACCTGACCAAGTGCCGTGACGCACTTCGAGGACTGCAAGGCTCTGCTATTGCTCCAGTCCCTTTTGGACCGATTTCGGAATCTTCAGTGAAACGACCCAGGACTGTATTGGATGACAATCGTTCCAGAATGGGTTTAGATTAGCAGCGAAGTTCTGGCGAACCAGCCAGGCCACCATCGACATCTGCAGGAAGTGATTGTGATTGAATGACACTTGGAATGAGTTCGACTTCCAATACTTCTATACGAATTTTCCAGTTGATAAAGTTCTCACAGATGCTTGTTCTTCGCCGGAATTAAGATATTACTCCTTGATGAGAAGAGTTACATATGAGTCGTTGGTATGAATCTCATCTCATGAGACTATCCATTGTCATACACTGAGTCCAAGAAATGATGGTGATTTATCATGGAGCTAGTTAGAACGATTCTAATGAAGTTATAATACATCCTTCTAGCACAAATCGTCATGTGCCATTTGAATTTGAAGCTTATCGTTGTGAGACAATTTGATTCGTCTTTCTTTCTGTGCTCCCGGTGATTTTGTCATTGTAAATAAAGTAACTCGCACCTTCCTTATTTTGCCGATTGTGCATCTCGCTATTGGTTGACATTTCACGTGGGGACACTTATTAGCCAGAGCCCCGAATTCAAATCCTGGGGACATGAGGGACGCCTTTTGAGTGGGGTAAGAAGTCAAGAAGTTCTGGAGCGTTGATTGGTAATTTCAGATTTATAATACTCAAGCAGCCAGTATTAAAGTGTGTCACTGACAGCACATGTGGTGAATATATAGTCTCGTATTTAAAACTGATCACTCGGAACGTTACTTCGTTAAACAAATACTATTTTACAAGCGAATGAATTATCCCGAGTAAAATTGAATAAATTACATTCAAATATCGCCAATAACAACCATGTCTCATTTGACTTACACCAATTATGAGGGCTACGGACAAAGAGCCAAACAGGATCTGTGGTATAGCCAGGCTGTTAGAGTTGGAGATGTTATTGAATGTTCTGGTCAAGGTGGGTGCTCGTTATTCACCAGCTTTTCTCAAGCTCCATTTTCGATCTTCATGTTTTGCTGACTCATAGAGTACAGGTGGATGGGACCGCACAACTGAAGCCATAAGCCCCGATATAGTTCTTCAGATTGAACGGGCATTTGATAATGTCGAGCGCACACTTAAAGTAGCCGGTTCAAAGGGTTGGGAAGATGTGTTTTCCATTAGATCATATCATGTGCCGGCGGATGAAAAGTCATTGGAGACAATGGTCAGGTGCTTGAAAAAGTACTGTCCAGATCATCAGCCAGTTTGGACATATCTTGGGATTTCGAGGCTCGCAAGGGAGGATATGAAAGTGGAAATTGAGGTTAGAGCTCATGTGCCCCAAGACAAGAAAGCGTGAATATTCTGTCTTTTGACTCCGCATATATCAAATTACAAAAGAGATGATTCACGCTCCGAGCTACATAATCATTCTTATATTGTGCAACTAAATTTGTTCTTGATATACAATCCTATATTTAACCAACAATTCTAAAACAATAAGGAAACAAAATAACTCATATCATGGGAACCGCCGGTAAAGCCTTCGAAGCTCTTCAAGCAGGCAGAAAAGCCATCAAGCAAGGCCGTGAATATCATGGCAAAGGACAAGAGATTCTCCAAGGGGTCCGGGACGCTCATGGTAAATTTCAGGAATTTAATAAAACAGCCCAAAGCTTCGGCATAGATTTATCTAAAGACGCATCAAACATACACAATAGCCGTGGCCAGTTCCAAAGAGGAGCCAAAGGCTACGCACGAGGTTGTTTTTGTGGATTCTGGACTATACTCAAAGCCCAAGCTAAGAAGTATATTACATATGTGCTCTCTCTATTGGTTTTTGCTTTCATCGCCCTAGGTCTTGTTTGTTTTCTCATCGCTGTGCTTTCGCATCATTCACACTTGCAACTCCTTACATTAACGACGAAGGAAATGGTGGGTAACCATGCTACGAAAGGAGGGAATGTTACAAGAGTGGAGGAGATCGTGGACTATAATATCTATCTCTTGCACTACTGTGTCACTGGTCTTACTACGGCAGCTGAGAAGACGTTTCGGATAACAAACGGCTGCCATCACGCAAGGCAAGGTATGTTGTGGTCGATACCAGTTCATTTTCTCCTATTTACATCGATCAATTTCAGCTAATATCTATCCTTTTCTGTTAGCATTGTATGACCACATACTGCCTGCCCTCAGTTCTACTATTGTACCCCCACTTCCCGGAAAGGATGTACTACGCCCCACCGCGGAGATTCATACTCTCTTCAAACACTATGCATACATATCTTTCTGCCTATACATCCTCGATATCATTCTTCTGCCTATTGTTGCAGTTGTGTTTATCTGGTGGTTCATTAGTACCCTAACGCCTTGGAATCGAACCTTCAGGCTTGTTCTCTGCGTAAGTCCACTTCTCTCTCCACGCAGCCTCCATGCTCCTTGCTAAGCAATCGCACCTAACACCAATACTACAGTTCTTCATATCCACTCTCCTCGCACCTGCAGTCCTTCAAACACTCCTCATCTACCGTGTCGTCCACATCCTCAAACACGACATCGACTTCACCAAATCCTACCTCGATATCAGTGTTAAACACGGATTCCTCTATATGATTCTCGCCCACTCCTTCTGGTGTACACTACTCTTCAACCTCATCCTTTTCCGTCTCATAGACTGGCTTCGAAACAAGAGAAAAACGAGAAAACTTGACCAGACTCAAGCTTCCTACCAGGCTCAAAATAGTCAAGACTCTTCTGATTTTCACGAGGGAAATGGTGGAGTTGAAAATACTTCATACGATACTCAATCTTTTGAGATGAAGAAAATGCCACCTCCAAAGGATTCAAAAGATATAGCAAGTATTGCACGAAAGCCAGTGGAGTTGCAGTGTGATAATGTCGACATAAGTTACGGTAATGGTGATTTGGGAGAAGGAAACCTGAGGAGTAATATTGATTTCATTCATGAAAATCGGAAGAATAACCGAGATTACATGGGGGGAAGAGGAATTTGATAATGTATAGTAATTAGACGCTAGTATCTCGACCACTGCGGCTTGACCCACATGACAGAATAGAAGTATAATAAGAATATAACAAAGCCATTTAAGGGTATTTCACCACAGATTACCTAGAATGCTGTATTGATATTTCATATGACTTCTATCATTTTGACAAATCGTTTTCTAGCCCACCAACTCTCTTCTTTTGGTGGTGTTCAATCTCATTCAATTAACAGAAGCAATTCTAAGAAACTGGTGTATTGGGCAGCACATCCGATCAGTTTGATCGGTTATGATAAAGCCAAAGTTGCATTGAGATGAGAATACTTTATTGCATGATCATGGGCGGACTAGAAAGTGGCTTCATGATTGCATATGTAAGTTATCTCTCCATTCACAGTTTTGAGACTCCGAACTTCTCATGCCGGCAAACGGATAGCTCGGTGTAGAATCAAAAGACCTCTGAGCTCATATGCAAGTGCCCCGCACCCGGTGCCTTAAAAGTATTCATGCGTATTCCAATAGATAAAGTCGTACTTTGTGTCCAATGCCAAATACTTTCCTCCATTATCTACAATGGTGCCGAGAGATAAGTGGATCATATGTGCATGCATGCATACTACGCTAGGTCTCCTGATTGCTCTTTTACAGGGGTATAAAGGAAGGCAAAGTACTTAAAGGTAGCTGTCGATGAATGAAACTTCGTGAAAACATTTACAACATCCTCATGCCAATCTGTAATTAGACACTCTTGAATAATTCACTCAGAGAAAACTATCAACCATGTTGTCAGAAGAAATTGATACACATATCATGGTTGATTGCGAACTTGCCGGGCACCCTAGCCTGATCAAACCAGCGATTACCCAGATCGGTGCCATTTTTTTCGACATTGAGATAGGAAAGGAAAAATCATGCTTTGAAGTATTCCCAAGTTTACAGTCCTGTCTTGACTATGGGCTAGTCCGAGATCATGTTACGACACGGTAGGTTGAAAGAAGTTGTCCTCGGGTACTCAAGAAGAGCCAAGAGAGCACTGTGACTCTCAAAGAGGCATTAGAGGCATTTACAGCCTGGATTGAACGCTGTGACCGCGCTACGTACGATACGATAATGAAATGTGGTGGACGATATCGGTTTGGAAACACCCTATTGTGGGCAAACGGAAGCATGCAGGACAATCGATGGCTTCATTTCGCATATGAAACTTGCGAATTGAAGCAGCCCGTGATATTCTGGCAGTACAGGTGCGCAATGACAGCAAACTATACAGCCAGCAAGACAACAAAACGAAACTTCCGCAAGGAAGCAGATCTGGACCGTCAAGGGCAAAAACACGATGCTGTACAAGACTGTCTGCATCAAATTGGATGGTTAGTAAAGGGTCTAAACGCATCAATGGGAAAGCAAGCCATTAGTATTCCTTCTTCTGTCTCTTACATCCCCTCTGGCTCTTCTGTCTCCGAAAGACCATCGAAAAAGCGAAGACTCGATTGCGAAGATGAGTGAGAGGTAACATGATTCATTTCAGAATCAAGAACTCATGCTGACAATACAATAGAAGCGGGCCCATCTCGATGACATGGGGCTCTAGAAGTCGACGAGACAAAGAAAGACTTGATCAATAGTAGGAATTATGAATGTTTTGGAATTAGCCCTGACAGGAAAAGTCTATCCGAGAGAAAGAAAGCCCAGAAATAACAAGTTTCTAGAAGGAGCTCGGTTGTCATTTCCAAAAGAATTTTCATACTTAAATTGAAGGGCGATGAAGCACACATCTACTGAAGTCTGTCTTGTATCAATACCATCAACCACGCTACACAGCAGGCGTATGAACCAACCTGACACCATGAAAACAACCTTTGTCATTTTCATCACTTGACTTTTGTTGGGCTTGGATATTCAAACAACTTGTACAGAGTACAAACGACACAACCCCATCTACAGCAAAAACAAAAATAGCGACAACACTGCTGTTCTGCATGGCAAGAATAGAATAGGCTCAAATCAGTGGAGAAGGTTAAGCCCAAGAAATTTCAACCACCGTGGTTTTACTAGCTACCACTGTTGTAACTTCTGCGATGTATTTTTTTCGTACTTGAATGCCTGCTTGATGTAGACATCCTCAGGTAGTTTACAAGTTGCTTTTTGGTATGTATTGTTACGACAACCAACGATCGAGCAGCCTGCGCACCTTTTTAAGAGACTCAGAAACCTTAGCATATGTTTCAAATTTTGCTGCATTGCCCAAAGTACTTTGAGACAGCTTTTCAACAATCTCAATGTCAACCACCTTCGCCACATCGAAAGTGTTTACCTCACTCCTTTTGTAGCCCTTCTGATTTGCCACAATTCGTTTCTCCGTTCCTTCTTCCACAAAATCGCAGTTGTAGTGCGTATGCCCAAACGCCCAGAGCCTGACACTTGAACTCGTCCAACATATCTGGTCAGAAAGATCTGTGACAAACGCAGACCTGACTTGATTGGAATCTTCAAGCTTCTTGGGATCATTGGCCGCACTAAGCATCGTTGGGCTGAAGTGTGTGAAGACCACTATCGTTCGTCGAGGCTCATCTCGTGTTATCTGCTCTATTTGAGCATTTAACCAGGTAAGATCTTCCATATGAGAAGCGTTATGAGCATCAATATCCCACTCCAATGTCTCTGAGAAATCGGAGCAGAAAAGCGACACAGATTGACATTGCTCGTCGTTGATGTGAGAGAAAAGAGTACAACCCAGAACAGTCAAACTGTCCGTAATATCACATCTCGTTCAATTGAGAAACACAAAACGGCCCATTTCCACTCCCTCCTCGCGATATTCATTCATTCTACGTTGGAAATCCAGCATAGTTGCAACGGCTGCCTTCACTTTCGTTCCGTATGCTTCGTGATTTCCTTGGACGAAGAAAACAATCTCGAATACCCGCAGCTGGTCTTTGAGAAAAGCAATAAGTTCATAATCTAAGACTTTTCCAATGTCGCCCAGGAGAGCCAAATATTTACATTCTTATTGGATTTTGAAGTGCTGATATGATGGCCTCGCGCTTGGATTCTCCAAATGGAGATTTGACATAATTTGGAACTGAACTGGAGACATCTGAGCGATACCACTCGATTGGTAGTGAGTTTTGTGCGGCTACAAAATGGCAATAATCGTTGTTAGTCAAGTTTGAAAGTATGAATCATACCCAGGCATGAAGATAGTTGTAATGAATTGTTGTCATATTGTCGAACAAAATAGTAGACGAGGTGGCATGCTCAGTAAAAGTTCAGAGCTACAAGGCGTATAATCTACAGGAACTCACAGGGCTTAAAAATAACTACAGGCCAGCACTAAAATCTTCATTGTCTCATTGGCTCAACTCACGTGCTACTTGCTACTTAGCGCATCGCTTGGTCCGTGCCACAAAGACCTTCTCTTCTCGAATGTCGCACAAGATGCAACCTCTGCGATAATCGTGACTATGTAAGCTCTAGGTAAGCAAGTCATATCGAACGAAATGTACTGTCCCATGGATATGATTTACGCTTAAAATCCCTTGTTGCTTCTTTGCCCACTTATAGGTTCAATTGCCGCGTTTCAAGCTCATGGTTTAAAGTGCTTGCGAACCCCGAACCCAGGTGAAGCGCTTATTCAGATCAGACAAGTGTCTCTCATCCAATGATGCTACTATGCTACACAATACCTTAAATCGTAGCTTGATGGCGCGTTTCTTCTTTGCGGCTCACATACCAAGACTTTAATGACTGGTCTTCAATGATTCAATCTTAAATATGGTCGCTTCAGAGACTACCGACCTTACCAACGGCCATGTCAAGCGGACTGTTTCCTATTGGCAAACTCAGCGCATGTTACTACACTTGGCCGTCTCATGAATTTATAGAGTCATGATATGATCTACAGAGCATAATTTGGAAATCTAGATCGATGGTACAAAAGTTCTGGGCTCTTGGAGTTGACAGTAAGAATGTGTAAGTATGAATATTTAAGATCTGTATTTCCTCATATGTTTGCTTCCATCATCATCTCAACAACCAGTCTTTTCATCTACTACAAAATACCTCTTTCCCTCTCACTTCTTTTCTTTGTTTGGCTAGGGTCAGAATTTAGGACGTTCTCTTCGGAACAATCACATCATTCTTTTGCTGCTAGATCAGCTTAAAACTTTCACTTCTCCACCAATTCGAGCCACCTCCGAGGACAAATAAGATATTCTCTCTTCAAATACTATCAGTGACGCAGATTCTGTTTATTCTGCTATTCAACACCTGTTTACTGGGAAGCCTCCTCCATCATTATTGTATCACTTTCATCCCGGTTTCAGATACTCTCGTCCAGCACAATGTTTTCACCAAAAGGTCAAGATTATGGCTCTTTCGGTTTTGCCTTTACCATCACTCGGGCTTTACAGGCCATTTGCCTGATTTGCATTCTTAGTATGTCTGCAAATTTTATTGCAGAGATCAATTCGGTCGACACAGCCCCACCATCAGTTATCATTGCAACTCTCAGTATTGTATGTTATCCTCATTCCCAGATTCCTTCTTAACTCTTACTAATTTCTAACAGGTTGTGATTGTGGTCGTGTTTCTTCTTATAGGCTATCTTCTCTATCTTGAGCTCCAACTCAGCTTCCTCTTGGCTACAGCATTCGATGCAGCGGCTCTTATTGCTCTCATTGTTGTTTCTGTGAAAGTCGGAACCCCACTTTCTTATCTAGATTGTCCTGCCCTCCCCAATGTTGGAGTGACTTCCGCATTCGTCGAATCAACTGTCGGGAATTTCTCCAAAGCTAATTACTACTTTTGGGTCGGTGCATCGAAGACGGCATGTTACGAAATGAAAGCCATCTGGGGATTCAGCATGGCACTTTGTGTTCTATTTTTCTTCAGTGGTATTATCAACATGTGCATATGGAAAAAGAACAAGCTGGTTGCGTCGAAGCGAGATTTGGAGTATCAAGGTTAAATCAACATATAGATAATGAGTAGCACGGTGGTGCAGATGGGAAGAGTGGATTGATGTGCAAAATGTCTACTGGAAGTCGGAAATAATGGAGACTACGATCATGATAGCGAGCAGAAAAACTGGGATAAGAGTCAGGAGGGTTGTCTAAATATAGGCACCCAAAATGAAGGCGGAAGATACTGCACCAAAACTTTCAAGATTTGGTGTTGAATCAACAGCATAGAGAATCGGCGAGGAAGGTTACGAATTAAACGAAAAAAGGAAAAAGGCGGGGTTCCTCTGGTAGCATGATGGGGAGGTAATAAGGTGGACAAAATTAGTTCTCATGGCTGGGAGGTTTTCTTCTGTTGGCATGGGATCCATTGGTTAATGGTTATTGTTTGATTTTTTGTTTTGGGTTGTAATAATCGTCAATGAGACTCTATTTAATACACATTTTTTTGGATTCTATACATAGCCCATCATGTTTCCTGCATCCTATGAGTGAAAGAATGAACGCCCAACCTACTTTCGAGTCCTAGGCCTGGCTCAATCCGGCCTCGGAATACCTATGGAAAGTAGCTCTGTCCACGGCCCACTCCGCCATTCGACCTGTCAAATCTGAGTAGTATTCCGATCTATTAGCGTCGCGGATTGAAAAAAAAAATAAGTCTTCGACCCGTCCCATGTATTTAGTCGCTGCACCATACCCGGAATCCGACCCGGCAATATATATGTCCCCAATTATGACCAAAAAAAATTCACTGAACTCATCAACGACAGCATCACCAAACGAGAATGATTCATTCGCTAAAATGGCATCGGTACTCATTGGATCCCAAATAAATTTGGAATTTCCATCGCCAAGCGAGGCAGGGTAAACAACGTGTACCACGCACGTACTACAACACAGCACAGCACAGCACAGCACAGCACATATAGAACAGGACCAAGGCTTTGGGAAAAGTCATCGGTACCAAGAAGCAAATCGTGCTATCGTCTGCACATCATCTGTTTGTGTGTGGCGGTAAGATATGCGTAATGACATGTTGGGTATTATGATTGGATGAACGCCAAAAATTGTGAGATCTTACAAGCAAACGGGACTCTGCGAATCATTTGGGGCTGTGATATGTGAGGTGCTGATCTTCAGATTGTTTTTTGGAGGAGACAGGATAGCTTATATTTTAGATGTTGCTTGGTTAGCGATCATATAAAATTAGCTAACTATACAAATGATTTTTTGGGATTAGTGTTTCATTCATGCAATGCGAATAAATAGATGCCCAGCTTTTGACAAGCTTTAATCAATTATCATTTCTTTTTTCGAACTCTTTTCGAAAGAATGTTGTCAACCAAATCCTGCTTTGAGAAAAAAGAAAAGGCATGACAAGAGGCCTGTGTTGCATGTATGTACGTAGGTACCTAGTAGTACGACGCATCAATCGCTCTTTTTGATGGAAGAGGCGTCTTCCGTTTCTAGAAACGAGGATCAAGGAAACGGATATTTATCTAGTATCTACCTCTACTCTAAACTTTGGATCTTGGGTAGCATTAAAGCTCTTGGTAAGAATTATATCATACATGCTGAAGATGACCATTTTACTCACCTGCTGATATGACTGACTGTACCTCCTCAAACGCCTTCAATCAATCGTAGATAGTTGCAACTTTGCACTCATACCAACCATAGCATATTCCATATTATCGGTACCAATAAAAACAGTACAAGGGAGATGGTACTATTTCTCGGTAGTAAGGTAGTAGCACAGTAGCACTCCATTATAGGCTAACACTTAGCCTGGCCTGGCATCCCAAAAGTCATAGATCCGCTTGGACCTAAAGTCTTACATTACGAGTCTACCACCTTGTACAAATCAGCGGGCAAAAATTGATTAATCATTTTCAGCTGTGGTCAAGATGGGCCAATTACACCTTATCTTATTTCTGGATGATATATATCCATAGTGATACCAATATGGTCTAGTAGTAAGTCAGAAGCTGGGTGGATATATACTTCTTGTTCCTACTGCGCCTCTCTTGAAGTATTGCTCTCTATCTGTATCTAAGGTATCAAGGAGGTCTATAGAGATTTACCATCTCAATCTTCATTTCCCTATCGACGCAAACATGGCTAAAACAATATTTACAACGATTACACCTCTCCCTCCTAATGTATCCCGCCAAACCGTCCTCGACACCCTACACGATCATCTCGAAATGATCGATCTCAATCCATCCCACGCCGAACGCACACCCACCAAGCCCCCTTCCTCTGCCAACCCTGAAGAATATCACTGTCAATGGTATCGCATTACCGACCGAATTGCCTATCTACCCGGCAATCTCTACACCGGTACCGTATCCTTCAACGCCTGTTTCCACGATTTGGCAAATGGACTACAAACACATTGCTATGCGCCCATGGGCTTAGACATCAAGGAAAAATGGACGATCGAAGGAAACATGCCTGGAGAACCAGCGGTTCCGAGAGAAATCGGCATTAATGCGCCGGTGGAGGGATTATACATCCGAGAAGATGTAGAGATGAAATGCAACATTCTGATGACGAGATTCGTGCGGAAAACCTTACAGGAATGTTTGAAAGCGCTGGTGGCTCGATTGGTAGTGAAAGCGCAGTTGCAAGAGGCGCATGAGAGAAATAGGAGATTGACGGTTGGAAGCGCAAGTGCATATGATAGGGAAGGTGGTACGATGACGCCGCCCTTGAGTCCTCCATTGAGGAGCCCTGGAATGGCTTCGGGGGGTAGCGTTGGTAGGAGAGGAAGTGCATATAGTGGATTGAGTGTCCCGACGAGTCCTCCATTGACCCCTTACAATCCTGAGAAATGGGCCGAGGCGGGCATGAAGGGCCACCCCGCTTTAAACCCGTACACACCGCTTCAAGTACAGCAGCAGCAACAGCAACAGCAATTATATCAGATGCATCATGATAGAAAGAGTTACGGGGGACAAGATCAGAGATGGTCGGGCATTAGTGATAAGACACAAACCTCCTTGCCTGGTCCTCCGAACTATGCGAATAAGCCTGTCAACTACACACATAAACCTACCAGGATCTCCGAAATGGAAGCGCCGCCCGGCCCGGTTGAATTGCCGTAGGTGAAGGTGAAAATGGTGTAGGAGGTATGAAGAACAAGATCTCGAGGACAATTGTCGGTAATGGATGGGAACGTTCGCTTGATATGGTTAATTTAAAAAAAAGGAGGATTATCATGAGCAGAGAGTTTATGGGGTTCGGAAGAAGGAGTTTGATACCACTTACTAGTACCGAAGTATCTGCTTCGAGGGCATACCCAGTTGTATGATCTTAATACAACTAAGACAGACACATGCATCGGACTGTCGTTTCAAGAGGTCATGAAGTTAGAAGAATCACCATGATAGGAATGGGAAAATGGGGATCGGCGGAATAAAAACTGGCCGTCTGTCTAGCGCCATGTGATAGCACGTTTTTTAACTGTACATTAATGACGATTTATGATATTGGGAGGAAAGAATCTGGGTAATTTCGAAATATTTGGAGTGTTGGTCTGTCAAATTTATCGAATTTTGGAATTATTTCGGCTCAAATATCATCCTAAAACTCAGGCATGAAAATTCCTCACGGGAAGTTACATGTGTTTGCATAATCTTGAGATTCACAATAATGACGTTTAAGTTCCCCATGTCTCAGAGGTCGGCTGTGAACAAAATGAACAAATTTTATTGAGGATCTATGTGTACAAACAAGCCCCGCATCATACACGCTCATGCCCCAAACCCCTCTAAATTCCTATCTATGATGCCATTCTGCTCATATCGTTTCTTATACGTTGGTAATCGAGGAGACCTAAACATGTCAGTAAATAATTCAAGGAAAAACAATGGAATGAGAAATCGTCAGGCATACCTTCAATCGAACCAACAGCACTAATTGCAATATCTTGATCCCACAACTTTCTTTGCGCAAAGCTCATAACATCCTTCTCGCTAATGGCTCCAATAACACGCTCAATCTCCTCTGGTCCCATACGGCGGCCAGTGGTGATGATTTGTCTTCCAATATCTTCAGCGACGGCAGTGGTGCCGTCTAAGGAAAGAAGAATGGATGCCTTGAGTTGAGCCTTGGCACGCTCAACTTCGGCTTCGGTGACGTTATATGATAGACGAGACCATTCACGGAGAGTGAAATGAACTAAATCGTCAATACGGGTAGTCTTGTCAGTGACAAGGTAGATACCCCAAAGTCCGGTATCGCTATAACTTGTTGAGAAACTCATAAAGCTGTTGGCCAAGTCGTTCTTGTGGACGAAACCACTGAGCTTGCTACCCATGTGAGGAGCGTTGCCCATAGCTTTATCCCAGTTACCGACGATAGCTTGGGTAACCAAGGCAGTAAAGTAATCATCATCTTTCCAGCTGACACCCTCAACAGCGATGGCAATGTTGGCAGTTGGGATGGTGTCGTCACGGACTCTGACCTCAGAACCAATGAATTCTGGCTTTTGCTTTTGAGCGTTGGCAATGGCGAGAGCAGCGCTGGAATGTGGTTGAGATGCAAGACCAGCAAAGTGCTTCTCAGCGAGATCAACGAGTTGCTGGTGGGGAACACCTCCGGCACCAACAAGAACCATACGATCAGCAGTGTAGTTTGTCTTAATATAGTTGGTCAAGTCCTCTCTTTGAATGGATTGGATGTTTTGAGCGGGTCCCAAAATGGTACGTCCTAAAGGTTGTCCTTGGAAAGCAGTTGCGTGTAAATGATCGAAAACGACTTCCTCCAATTGCTTATCAACCTCCTCAGATTCTCTCAAAATAACATCACGTTCTCTGTTAATCGCCGAAGGTTCGAGTTTGGAATTTTGAAGAATATCGGAGAGAATGTTGACAGTTGCTGGTACGTCAGAGTTGAAAGCCTTGGCGTAGTAAACTGTGTTTTCACGCTTCCAGAGAATTAGCAAAGTGCCCGCGCTATTCAAATGAATATAAACGTACGGAAGTGTAGGCGTTCAAATGGCCACCCATGTTCTCAATTTCCAACTCCAATTGATGCTGCGTTCGGTTGCTGGTTCCCTATTCTCATTGTAAGTCCAATTGAACTTTCCACCCGAGACTGAAGTATACCTTGAAGGCAAGATGTTCCAAGAAATGAGCAGTGCCGTTGGTCTTGTCGGTTTCTGCCCGAGAACCGGCATCGATCCATACACCAACTGTCGAAGTTTGTGCCCATGGCGAGTGTTCTGTAGCGATCTTTTCTCTTATCAGCACTTTGCCCCTCCATCATTCGTATTCAAAACTTACCGTTAGACCGTTTGAAAGAGTTGTGGTCTCTGTCTTGACGCCATTTTTTGTGACTGGAGTCGCGAATCCTCTTCTCAGTCCAGATACGACATTTGGAGCAGCGCGGGTGCGCAGTCCTTTTGTAAGGTTTAATGCTAACCGCCGAGACGCCATAGGGATATGATGTGAGGGTTGTGGTGGAAATAAAACAAATTGAAGATAACCCGATGAGTTCAAATTACTAGAATTTAGTAAACCTGAAGAGCTTAGTCGTTGATCATATTTCAACCAATCAAATTTGTTCCGGCTTTGATGACCTTACACGTGACTTGTTGCCGAGCTACCTAGTTATTCCGAACATCGTCGACCGAGCATTGAAGGACCTGAGTGATATGTCGTCGACTCTTTTACACTCAATAATTGTAATAGAAATTCACAATGGCTTCATTCCTCAAACCATCAATCATTAGGCAGACTTGCCTCGCTGCGTCGAAGCGCAATTTCTCTACAAAGATCCCCTCCAGTTTCCCCGCAATCAACAAGCCCGCTGGTCGCAGTACTTTTGTTCGAGATGCATTGCCAGGTTCAATGCGTGTAGCGGCATTCCATGCAAGTGGCAGACAAGCAATTCTACCCCCATTACCTCGTGAGCTTTCCGCTATTGATATGCCTTAATTTTATTGCTAACTACTTCACAGAATCTATCGATGGAACCTGTATGTTGATCCGCCCTCGAGCCAATCCACCATAAACTAATAATTTGTATAGCAAACGACGCAGCACCCGTACCTAAGCCATCCCCCTCCCACGGCTCCTACCATTGGACCTTCGAGCGTTTAATCGCCGTTGGTCTCGTTCCTCTCACAGTCGCTCCCTTCGTTTCCGGATCATTGAATCCAGCTACCGACGCTCTTCTTTGCGCGGCTATTCTCATTCACTCACATATTGGCTTCGAGTCGTGTATTATCGATTATTTCCCAGCAAGGAGAGTGCCAAAAACTAAAGCTCTATTTTGGTGGGGCTTGAGAGGAGCAACTGTTTTGGTTGGAGTTGGATTGTATGAATTCGAAACAAATGATGTCGGAGTTACTGAGGGTATCAAGAGAATTTGGCGCGCATAAGACGGCCGGGAGGAGTTTGTATTATTCAAGAATAAGCAGCGTACACACAGTACAATATCAAGGCTGTCCAACAAATGTCGCTTTAAGTTCTGTCAAGTGAGATCGCCATTTGCCTAGAATTTTGAGTGTATGTGCAGCAAAACACGGGTTCCCGTGGTCTTTTTTCAAGCTTGAAAAGTAACATCAAAGCAAAGTGTAATGGCAGAGAGTGATGCCAGCTTCTTAAACCTCTACCTTGCCGAATTGCTTTACTAGACTCACATTGAGTACTCACCACGCTTTGCTTTTGTTGATATACCTTTGCATACTACTCGTCATTAAGAAAGCATATCTCCAGCATAGGATACTCTGTTTTGCTACAATCTCGGAAGCCCGACCTAGAAAATGTAGAACAGGAGGCAATATCTCATACCATCCCCAGTATGTTATGCAGAGTTGATTTGTGTGTCTTGACGCGCAATTTTTGAAAGGGAAGTATGGGATCGTTGGAAGATGCGTTGGAAACTAAGTCATTTTCTTTTCCACCATGGGGGTGGTGAGACTCTCGCCATGAATCTCCTTGCTGGGGTCGCCAAAATCAACCATAGATATACTACAAGAAGCGTTTCTTTAAAAAACCATGATACCCAATCTCGCTGTGAGACGCGACTCAAACGAAGAGTAGAGAATAGAGTTCGAACAGCATGACTTAATTCAGGGTGAGCAAAATTCCAAAAAATTGAAACCATGTAATGTAAACGATCCCGTTTTCAATTCAAACCAGACGAACTGAGTTCTTCAATCAACAATGTCTTCGGATGTTAAGCAGCGGTCCCGTTTGAGGGGATGTGAAGACCTAGTGCGTTACCACTAAGCCATCTGGACTTTGTTTCTTGGTGAAGTGATAGGGATTGTTTATATTCATATAGTTAACCAAAGAGCCTCACTTTTATACCCTGTCACTTTGTACCTTTGCTACCTACAAATATTCTGTATTAGGCCTAACCCGGAAGTCCGCACTGCCTCATATAATACTGAGCCACAGTGAGAATTCAACGTCTTCCTATTTTTATCGATCAAGTTTTCAATTTGTCTTCATCACAACTATATTTTCGAAAACGCTCCTACTAGCAAGAAAGCATTATGCCACAGAATAGAGTATGCAGACTTCCCGCTGGAGAAAATAAGAAATTAATGTGACTCTAGCTCTCCCCTCTGACCTGTCTAACCCCCACTCCATTCCAACGTCTGTCTCCATTTCCCACAGAATCACTCACCACCAATAAACATATCGACTACAATTGGTATGGGTCTTTCGATCGTCACAAAATAGTTACAGAGGCGACTTCTTTCCTCTCTACCCACGCTTCTTTCTCAGCTTCATGCATATCCTCTACCTTTTTCGATTTCCTCGATATCGCTTGGAAATATTGCAATGAGTATGAAAGAATTCCAACAGAGGCCTGTTGGTTTACGATCCGTCTCACCAAACCGAGTGATGTGTTTGTGATGCCTAGGTGGCATCGAGATGCGAGAATGTTCGACTGTACCTGTCTCCATTCTCAATCGGGACACGAGGATGAGGGATCCAGCAGCGACCCTAAGAAGGAAAAGGCAATTCACAGTAAATATGCCACCACACTCCTTGGCCCTTGCACTCGACTGCTCCCAGAAACTCCTTTTGTTAGAAGTAGCATGGTCGAAGTCATGGGTCTGAGTTGTGAAGAAGAAGAAAGGATTCAACTGGCAAAGCGGTTTGAGAATGAAGAATGTGTTAGTCTGGTGGTGGGAGATATAATTCGTTTTACTTGGGGAGATGAAGATTCACCTGTTCATTCAGAGCCGGATATCAGTTGCAGTCATAGAGTCTTTCTTAGTTTGATGTTTGGCAGTGAAGAGGAGCTTAGACAAATGTGCAAGTGGCGGGATATGGAATTCAGAGAGTACAAGATTGATTCCAGATGAAAGAGTCGACGTCCCTTTTCATCTAAAGAAGATTCACTGTATCAAAACAGATTCCTGTCTTTGATACGTACAAAAGGCGATAATACAGACAGAGCCGGTAGAACTGGAGGATATGTCGAGCCTCCGTATTTGTTGACAGGTTTTAGAAAGCTCTTTTCTTGTGTATGAGAAGAAAAGAAAGATGAGACATGTAGCTTATGATAAGTTGCACATCATTGTCAAATAATGTGATTTGATTTCTTAATTGACACTTTAATTACACTATGGATCAGGAGCCGACATAATCCTCGCCGCTATTCTCAGCAATCACTACGAACTAAAATCCATACTCCTATCCAAAACTGAATACACGATTAGTTTCAGGCGAACTTTCCAGCAACACGCTTCTGTTTCTTATTCAATTGTCCGAGCATCGCAGGTCTATAATTAGAAGGAGAAGCCTCGAGAGTCTGTGTATCTTCCTGAGCTTGTCTTTTGGGCTTACGGCCTGCTTCCATCTCGGACCTGGAGATCAAGGTAGAAGCAATTTTTTGTGCGGGGCTTCTGAGTTTTCGTTTTCGGGAATTGGCGACATTAGTGCTCGGTTGAGTTTCTGGAGGTGGGGGTTGAATGATGGGAATGCCATTCTCATCTAACTCTCCTTCTTCTTCTGCATCGTGTATAAACTCCATTGCCCGTCCCATCGAATGATTGATCATAATCATTTCATCTTCACTCTGAGAACCAGGAGTCTGCAGGCCGGTCTCATGATCTTGGTCATCTGTATTCACAACCTCAGTACGCGTGTGCAAAAGTTGTATGTTAACGTTCATTTTAACTTCCAATCCTTTTGGAAGGTTTGGGAGCGAGAAATCGAATCCGGAGAGGATAGCTTTAGTCGTGAGCTGGAGGAGACCTTCCTATTTTTTTAGTCAGGAGAGTGCAGGCATAAGTAGTTCGGGCTGACGCGCAGATACAGAATATGAATTATCAGATCATAGGCAAGAAAAGAAATGTTCAATGGAGACTTTTTAAAAGACTTACCAATTCAGGCCCTCCATTTGTCTCATTCAATTTCTGTTCAATAGCAGCTAATTCCCTGGATTGATCCCTCCGACGGGCAAGACGTGATTGATTCTCAACGAAAGCAACGATTCCCTCTTTAATAGTGGGCTTTTCTATACCGGCAGCTGTGAGTTGCGCCAAAAGCTCTTTGGTGGTGAAATTGTTGAGGTCCATGCTGCTTGGCTGATAGTTTATGACACGAGTTGAGAAGGGAGAGGGAGGTTGATTGTATATTTCTTTCTTTCTTGGCTGAATGAATACATGAATTTTAGGTATTGAATATATGCTATGCTGTACTTGAGAATCAAAATTAGAAATTTTTTTGGCATTAAATAGATGGGTGAATGAGAAAGCCGTAGAATTAGCGTTCTTGTGAGTTTTCTACTATACTGTAGAGGTGAATTCGTCGGGTTAAAGAGAGCCAATGAGATGAGATAGAATGCCAAAAAAATGAATCGAGCGGAGTTATTTTCTGGAGAGTTAAAACTTTGGAGTGTAATGACCTATCTTTGTCTGGGAAGACTAGTTAGCAGCTGATGTGGTAATAGCTCTTCCTCTATATATAGAAATCAAGAACCATGGTCTTTTTAAGTAGTAGAAAGGAATATTCAACCTTGAAAGGGGTGCAGTCAAGTACGTATATGCAGTATTGATCTATGGTTTCAAAGAAGAGACATCACATTCAGAGGTGATCACTAAAATTAGGTTGCACATATATATATCTTTCTACAACAATCATACAGGATATTCTACTATAAAACTTGACATTATGAACCACGGAAACCAACGTCTTTGTTTTCTTCGGAAGAGTAGAATTGCGCCTTTATACACTCAGCGCATGATGTTCGGTTGATTTGACTTGCCATAATCCGCAGCACCTTCACATACAGCATCATAAACACTTACATTTATTTCCAACAAGGCACCAGAGTTCAGTGGTATCATCGCAACAAAGTTACTCAGTTGTTGTTTCGTAATTTTTTGAACTGTCGTGTATGATCCATCTTCCTTTGATCAGATACAAAAAACCTACTCAAATAGATTCTATCTCAGTCCAAACCTAAGCGAGAAAAGACCTAATTCAACAAGACCAAATCCATCTATCTACCATTTCAAACCACAAACTTGTGTGAATAGGCTGATTTAATCCATCAAATAGAATGATAGAGTCAAAGGTATCAATAATTGATAGTAGTATATCCACTCAACATACCCAAACTCCAATGCTCAAAGAAAGTTCGTTGACAACCCCCCTTTTCTCCTAATACCATTGGAATCCAGTAGTCCAATAAACAACAATCCAAAGTCTCAACTTTCCAACCCAAAATCAACGATTCAAAAAGTATTCACAAGTACACAATTCCATCTCAACATTGTTGATCCACAACAAAGTTCATCACCCGGCCGATGTCTAGAGTGACTAGTCTTCTCACACCCAGGTTCTCTCCAACTTTCTCAAATCAACTTCTTAACAACACCACACCACAACATCCCAGCCCACCAGCAACCTTTGAAGAAAAGTAATTCTTCTTTCTTCTAACCATACAATTACTTGACATTCTTGTAAGCGATTATTGATGAAACTCTTTCTTATCACAAGTAAAAGTTTCACACTCCTTCATACTCGTTGATTGTATTCTTACAATCAACGCTCTACACTGTAAATTACTAACGAGAAATAAATCGTAGTCCACATAATCACAAACTCTCAACACGTAATCAAAATGACAGACCCTTCCCCCTCAAAAGCCATGGACCAAGTGGAAATCGACCCCCTTTCCACCACCATCGACTCCACCGCCTCCGCAAACTCCACTCCTCCCCCAAACGTAACCGCCAGTACCGCTGCTGCAATTCCCCAATCAAGAATTGTCTTTGACGAAATGCTCGCTGCATACCAAGCCACGAGAGACGAAGACTACCACTACAACATGATTCCCATTCCCGATCTCCTCCGCCATCTCCGCGAGCGCGGTATCCAAGCGTCCTTCAGAGATGCAATGGTTCTGATGCTTCTCGTCGATGACGAGAACCGTGATTTGGTATACCAAAACTTTCATTTCACGCATGGGACTGCGAATTGTTTTGTTGCGGAACGTTCTAACCTGGTGTACGAGGAAGATTTTGGAGAAAGTGAAGTTGGAGATGCGTCACCAGGTCGGCATGTTCAGGCTGGTGATGACCAATCTGCCAATGAGGAGGTTGAGAAGCCGGATATGATGGAGGTTGAACAAGCAGAGTTTTCTGTAAGTAACATCCCATACTTGAATTAAATGAGGCGAACAGTATGAACGAATAAATTACTGATGTTTAAACACACAGTCCGACGATTCTACTCAACATGAAGCCCATAAGGAGCTTTAAATCCTCCCCCAACAGCCGTTCCATTAGCTTGAGAGAAATGCATACTCCACGAATTTTCATTTTGGATTGAGCCCATCTCTGTGGGGCCAATCGTTCGAGCAATTCGGGATTTTCGTTTGTGGCAATGGTTACTTCTCCCATACTACGGATATGGTATCGACAGTTACCTTCGGGATCTACGGGAGGAATACATTTTTCATAGGATACATACACACTTGCACAATTGAGGATAATTTATTCTAAAACAAGGAGCTCATGTACCCCAAACGTACCCCAAATGCGGGGGATCTACATGCATCTACCCTTAGCGGCCCTACTAGTCTCGCAGTTCTACTAGCCATGAATAGAGTTTCAATCCACAACATTGACCCCGTTTCTCGGATGTGGCAAAGCATATATCAAATCATGACATAAGAATGACAAGACCGTCCTCGGGAACCTCAAACCTCAAACCTCAAACCCCAAAACTCAAATCTCCCAAGCCAAGATCAAAATGCAGTGAAAACACGAAATTCCTCTTCCAAAAAATGAAGCACACTCACAACCATGATTCCAAAGCTCTCATAGTTGCTCGTTACCCCAAGAAAAATCCATATATTAATATAAAAGCAACACCAACATGGACCGGAATCTTCGATCCTTCTTTCCGGCTGCTGATCCTTCCTCGATATCTGGGGGTACAGACGGCCATCGTACCCCTTCCCTCTTCTCGCCGCATCACGAGTTTGGAGTACGAACAGGAACAGGAACAGGAACAACAGAGATGGCGGGACCAGCAACGAGAAGAACAATCCACACAATCCGAAGCGAAAAATACGAGTGAGAGCTCGAGTCCTACATTGAGTATTCGTAGTTCCTGTTCTTGTTCCTGTTCTCATTCCTGTATCTCCGAATCCTCGCATTCTGCACTTCGTACGGGTAGTTCTTCTTCCGATTCCTCATATACGTCAATTTCTTCAACGAAAATGTTCTCAACTACAAATTCTACACATACCCATACCCATACTCAAACCCACCCCCCAAATCCCAGCACACGCAACTCTCTCCATACCCCCCAACTTTCCCCAAAGAGCCTCGCAAGTCCAGCGCACTTCTCAGAAATAGAAATACAAGAGACTCCGACCCGGACTCCGATTCCCAAACCGTCGCTGGATATACTCTCCGATTCGAACACAGATTCAGATTCAGATTGCGACGATAATGACGATGATGATGAAGATTTCATCGACGAGAACGACGATTTTCAACCTGTAATAAAAGATAACACAGAGGAAGATTCAACAATCTGTGATCTCATGGAGAGAATGCGCAAGATGAGTATATGAACTTCGAAGAAGAACGACTAGAGAATTCCTCGAAAGGGGGGGAAAAAAGTAGTAAAATACATAACGAGATATTGGAATGATGTTTGCAATCCACTCGAGAGTATATCTAATAATACAATCCAAAGATCTGTATCCCTCATTCATACTCACTCATCTGCAAGATTGCAGTACATCCCGATATCCCAAGGGTTTCTATTCCTACCTACTTACAATACGCTACGACTATAATATCAACGACGAGCAAAAAATACTAGAGGATTAACAATCTAAACTCATCCTCCCATCACAGTTCCCAATCAACATACCCATACCTTGCAATACCCTCCATCATCTCCGCACAGATCCAAGCCCGCGCTGCAAAGAAGATAGGATAAATGCACCCTTGTAATACGGAGTCCCAACCTCGAACCTGACTCGATATCGAATACTCTTTTCCACATACACATACACATACACATAAACATCCCATCTCAAACACGACACAGACCAAACAATCCACGAGACGAATCGAAACGTCGCGGCCAGATACCTGCTTATCAGCGAACTGCGCAACGGCGGATGAAATAAACAGATTCGATGGGATCCTATATATCTTGGGGAAGAATATTTCGATACCCATTGAAAGGAGACGAATTTAAAGAGGAGAAAAAGAGAGAAAATGATGAGGACTTATACCTCATTCTTTTGATTAGATACTATACTATTATACCTCTTCGTCAAATGCACGGAATGAATTTATTCAATAGAACTTAATATTAATCAGAATCAATCAGTCAATCAAATCAAAATCTTAAAATAATATAAAAAAAATTCTCTCTATCCTTTCTAACCAAAAAAAGAACAAGTTAAATACTCCACGCTATGCCCTTCTCCATACATGCCCTTGTATATCCATACCGAACCCATACCATACCGTGCCTCCCATCAAAGATAACCCACATCCAAAAGAGAGGACGGAAGAAAATTAAAAGTTCCAACCCAATCCATGCTCACTCATCTAAACTCCTACAATATGCTAATATACACTTGCTATCAAAGGTATTTCATCGAAAATTCTCATCGCTACGCCGTACCTCAACACCCAAGCTCCTTTCATTCATGTCCCATGCCTTGTTTGGGTTCGTTTGCATTACATCCCGCGTCCATCCGCTAGAATCAAGTATACAGGAATGTTGAAATCCCATGTCCTTATATTATCGCCGTGATGAAATCGAGACCTTCCTAATCATCGGAATTTTCTTCTTTTAGAGCAAGATTTTTTAGTCCCGTAATGACTTCGGCATCGGTATCAATTTTCTCGGGCTGAGGGGTGAGTTGATCATCTAGTCTGACACCGCCCCCTTCGAGCGCTGAGTCCTCTTCGTAATAATCATCTTCAATTGCGTTGTCGTAGTATTCCTGATCTTGACCTTCTCCCTCTAACACCATACTTCTTCCCAAACCATCATCACCCTCTATTGACTCCATCAAAAGACTTTCATCTAGACCTTCCTCGTAGTAATTGTCTTCGTCTAAAGATTCGCGAGAGATATAACTATCATCCAAATGGTCGTTGTCTTCTTCTTCCTCTTCGTCATCCTCTTCCTCCTCATCTTCCCTTTCTTCAAGATCCTTCTCATCGCTCTCAGACCCACTGAAGTCGTCAAGTTCAAGGACAGGTTCTCGCCAATATGTGAAATCAGTGTATTCCTCTCCTCCGCTAGTGATGAGGGTGTTTACGGGTGGAAAGTAATGGTCCACAACCTCTCGCATATTCACATAGCTGTATCGTAATTTGTTGAGACTGAGCAGATCTAACGAGACTTCTGCATAGCTGTTGATCGTGAAAATACGATTGCTTGGGATACTGACAGAGCGGTATGATAATGCATCAGTGAGCCTGTTACCGAAACCTGCATAGAATGGTGTGCGATTAGGGCCGAACAAGTTCTTAATATCTCTTAGACAAGCCATTTTAAAGACTTCTGGCTTTCTAATATAAACTTCTCGCCTCAAAGCTGCAAGTGTTCTATCAGGACTCAAGATGGTTGGGCCTTTCGGTAAGCGATAATTCTCCTGTACCACACCATTGAGATATGCTCTGGTCGTATCAGCTTGACCTACCGATCGGGAGGTCAAATACATGATATTGTAACCATTGTTGATGATCTCCGTGTAGAGTTTGGCAACTCCGATATGAGTCCAATCTCTTCCGATGTAATTCAAAACATGACCTAAAGCATCTGATTTTGTGATGGTACCATCAATATCGGAAATTACAATGGGTACATCATACCTCCAGAGATACATGTTTGCCTGGCAAGTTGCTCGGTTGACAGTAAAGCTCACGGGATTTGGGCCAGACTTGAGGCCGAGAGCTTTTAATTGATCGCTAGTCAACCGCAAGGTTTTGGCATAGTTTCGATTTGGATCACCGGCAGTTCCAGTGGGTGTCTTGGGTGGTGTTTGCATTCCCAATGACTCCGAACCGGCACGTCGGTGCGTTGGAACGATCGGTGGGTGAAGGATATCACTATCTGTTTCACTACTGTATCCTAAATCCGAAGAAGTGTCGGTCGTCAATCCCGAAGCATTAATGCCTGCCATTGCCGCCCGCTGACTTGCAGCTTCTTTTGCCTCTTCACTACTATATATCCAAAGATTTCCGTTCTCATCCGCACCAATGAGAGCACCAATATCATAGTTGCCTTCCAACTCTTCTGACAAAACCTTTCGCGCGATAACCTCTGCCCGAAGAGCATCATCGTCACTACTTTTGTAGCCCGTCATATCCAACATCAAGTCACCGGTTTCGGTGACCTGACTTGCGATGTTTGAGGCTTGAAGACGATTCGACAATGCCATCGCCCTTTCTATTGCTTCGCGTGTTGGTAGAGGTGGAGGGCTGTGCGATCTTTCAGTGAAAACATCCGATTGCCCGTCGATAGCTGCAACAGTGGGTGTCATGGATCGTGTTTGTCTATCTCGTTCCGTCAAATCGCTAATGTTTGTGCGAGCCGAGGATGACAAGAATTCGTCTGTATGGCTGCGTTGAACTCCAGAATAATCTCCAGGAAGGGTTCTATCAATTGCCTGCTCGGAAGATATCGATGGTGGTGTCAAAGCACCTACTCTGGTCAGTAAAGAACATCTGAAAATGATCTTGGCAGCTTACTGAGATTACTTTGCCTCCTAGGATATAGACCTCCCGCAGATTTTGTAAAACTGTCTGATCTCAAACTTTTATGGCTCATATCCAATGCTAGGAAGTCAGGTTCCGACAGACTTGCTGGGTGCGCACCCGATGCTGGTAGTGGTGGACTGGAAACTGGCGAAACGAGAGGTGACGTCTGCATAGCTTCTGGAATATTATCACTGGTCTCGAAAACGAAGAATGCTTCCCCTCCTTCGCCCAACTTCATGGCGTAATCTTGTTTGACATCGTTGACTCTGAATTCGACCTTCTTCTCGTAGGGTCGAAGGAGAGAGAACTTCCCGAAGCGAACGTGAAATGGCGAACATGCCAATGATCCATCTTCTTGTTCCACGACTATAACATCGATGGCTCCGCTGAGAGTTGCTGGATTTATCGAATTCCAGGTTTTCGAAACCGAACCGCTGATACTTCGCACGTATTGCATTGTCGATGTATTGTAATAAAGAAAGGAATGTTGGTTGGGATGTGGTGTAGTACGGAGGCGAATGTCACCAACGAAGATTTGTAGATGCGCCCCGATTCGTGAAGTGTTGAGAAGTTAATAGCGGAACTTGGAAGAATTATATGTCGATTAGGTCATGCGTAGATTCCTTTAAACTTTGCGACTGATCAAGTGGGGTTAATCCTAGATGAATGTTTGTTGAATGGACGGTGGTAGATTATGTAAAAAGGTGCGTATACGGTAGTAAGATGGTTGAATGAAACCTTTGGCTTGGAAGAAGGTAGTATTGTTCTATTGTATTATACCTAGGCACAGCATCTACATAGGGTGAGAACTTTGGGGGGTTCAAAAAGGGAGGATGGATAACGAGTGAATGTAGTAGAAAAACGAGAGATGTGAGAGTGAGAATATGGAAGCAATAAAGAATCCTATATGGTAAAGTTGTACTTTCCGTCTGGGATGGGAAGCAAGTGAGGGAAGGGAAGCAAGTGAGAGAAGGGAAGGGAAGGGAAAAGTGTTGATGTTGATGCGGATGTTGAGGGTAATAATATGAAGGGTTGGGAATGGGAATGGCAATGCGACCAAAAGTAATAGGTGAGTGACGGACGACACGCACGGAGAAAATGGATTAAGCTCGAATAGGATGAGAATCCGGTGAAACCCCTACCAATAAGGAGAAGTGAGAATTCCCAAAGATTCTAGTCATGCAGCAGTTAAAAGTTTCGATGGATGCACAGGATCTATAGTTAAGGTTAAGCACCCAATTTCTATTTTTGAGCCGGCCGTGAACCGAGAGACATACAGGAAATGGGTACGGAGTATATATGTATATATATGTATATATATACCTGGGAATGTGAATACATATAGGGGGATACATATATAGGTAGTAGTAAAGATGTATACAGATAGATGAGTTGACATGAGCTGACATGAGATAATAAATGGGTGAGAGATTGATGAGTACATAGACCTCGGTAGGTCAGAGTTATGACTAGGTATATCTAATACTCCGGACTGGGAAAGTGTGATCGATTCTCGATGCATTTGAATGTTGGAGTAGAGCACAACACATGTGACAGGAGAATGCAATACCTATGTATGGAGTATTCACGTAACTAATTGTAACTTACAGAGGACCTAGGGAGGTAGAGGTAGAGGTAGAGTTTCCCAAGATGGATTACCCAATGATCAATTCCTACTTTCGGAATGATTGATTTAATTGCGGTCGAATGAAAAAGAAAGTCCTGGCCTAGGATGGGATGCAGAGAATAGTTTGGGGGAAGAGTTTTCTCGTATTAGCTCATTTGGTGGGAAAAGTACCCGTACCTACTTAGGTAAAGAAATGTTGTCTACGCCGTA